TCAGGCATAACGAAACTCATGTTTGGCCATTTTACGAGTAAGACGTTTTTGACTGTTTTGAGCCCTCCGGTAAGCAAAGCTGAAGTCACCTTGAGTTATGTACCCCGAAAGAACACTCTTAGACAGCTGGTAATCCATCCTGAAAAGTCTGCTTACCAACTTTCTTACCCTTTGACCTTTTTGATGGCCACTTTGGCGCCACACAGTTTTGGCCACATGGCTCACTCCTGAGGGCTGACTGGAAAGAGGATAAACTTGCAGTGATTGACTCCCGACAAATCATCGGTGTCACTTGTTGACTGTGCGTCCAGTTAGCGATGGACATTGGCTGCAGACTGGTAGGCCTCAATCACCTTCAATCGTCGCGAATGGTCACGTGCTGACTAAATACCGAGACGTACCCGTATTGGAGACCTCTATGTTGCGGCGTTAACCGTCTGTGTAGGAAACGGGCTCTCTAGCAAAAATTATTTTGTCTTCAGAAATTAGTTACTGTGGAGCATATTTCTACCAGCCATGGCAACCACGTAAGCCCAGTAACGAACCAATTTCAGCGTGCCTTTAAGCAAGAGAGCCTAAAAACGTAAAATTTAGGTGAGAACGAACTTATGGGACACCCTGTACACTTGCACAACAGTTTTCGAGTAGATGGATTGACCGAATTCCAAATCAAAACACATCATCGAGTAGAACATAGGCTGTAGTAACTTTCCTTAGAAACCGCTTCTCGATATGTGACCCCTTTTGACCTCGGCAGGGCAAAAAGTACAAAAAACGACACTCCATAGTCTATACGTCGCAGCACGGATTCAACCCAGATTCGGGACACCTCCGATCAAGCTGAAACTCGCACACCATGTAGGTCCTGACTCCTGACATGCCCAATCCACAGTCCGAGTCATTCGGTGGCACTCCCAGCCGTTTGACCTACAGAGGTCAGCAAAGGTCACGTGGCCCAAACTTGCACAGCAGATTGTGGCCCACCCAGTAGAGCTAGAGAGCTAAAAATGGCACAAATACCCCATTTGATGGGTATTGGGAAAGTAAGATTAGATGCTGACGAGTCGATTGGTGCCATTTTTAGCGCTCTAGCTGTACTGGGTGGGCCACAATCTGCTGTGCAAATTTGGGCCACGTGACCTTTGCTGACCTGTGTAGGTCAAACGGCTGGGAGTGCCATCGAATGACTCGGACTGTTGATGGGGCATGTCAGACTCAGGACCTACATTGTGTGCGAGTTTCAGCTTGATCGAAGGTGTCCCGAATCCGGGCTGCGACGTATGTAGCCTCGTTTATTTGTACATTTTGCCCTGCCGAGGTCAAACGGGGTCACATATCGAGAAGCGGTTCCTAAGGAAAGTTACTACGGTCTATGGGCTACCCGATGATGTGCTTTGATTTGGAATTCGGTCAATCGCTCTACTTGAGAACTGCTGTGCAAGTGTATTTTCGACATAGCCCACAAATGACCTTAGGTCATCGCATGACCTTGAGAGGTCAAATGGGTATTGGGAAAGTAAGATTAGATGCTGGTGAGTCGATTGGTGCCATTTTTAGCACAAGGGCAATTAAGCGCCATGCACCGCGTGACGAGTACCGGCCAACACGTTACCTCGGAAGCGGATCTAACCGTGGCGTGTTGTGTGTGTGTGTGGGAGGGGGGACACTGCCATAATTTGCAAAGCCGGATCCACGGACAGGGGTTCTGACGATGGGTGATGACCGGCAGCTAACGTTTATAAACGGGAATGGCGGTCGATGGTCGTCACTTAATGACGGAGGTTGTTGATCTGGCAGGTCGGCCGGAAACAATGCCTAAGTCTGCATGTTTTGGTGGTGGTGGTGCTGGGGGGAGGGGGATATCATGCTTTAAAGTTTTAGCAAGCACGTGTCTTAACCCTCGCATGTGTGCGGCGTTTTCCAGCTTCTAATGTGTGTGTGTGGGGGGGGGGGGGGTCGGTTGGCCCCCCCCCTTGCCGTTTGGCCCCTGATCAAGCTAGAGCTTCGCGGAAAAAACGAGCGTGTTGCCCGTGACGAGAGGAAGCCGATGATACCCAATTTTAAGGTCCTAGGTCATTGGTTGACCTTCCAGGTCAGGTCAATGACCCAAAGTCGGGAAAATCGGGACCTATTAGAAAGTCGTTAAGTGTGGCTGCTAAGGGGTTTTTCGGGGTGCTGATCACGAAAATCGTGTTAGTTTTGATCACAGATGATGTCTTTAAGCATTTAGACCACGTCGAGTCAGGTCAGGTCAGGTCAATCAGTAGGCGTCGTGACGGGTATTCGTAGTACGTGTCAACCGCCTCTGACAGCTTCGTAACATGTTACGAAGGCACAAAACTACTTCGTAAATGTTCAAATGGTTGCTAAATTCGAATTCAGCTCCAAAAACCAGCCTAGAAACATGTAAAACTCGAAAAAGTGAACCGAGGTCACCCGAGGTCACCAAAGGTCAATGACCTGACCTGACCTTCAGGTGACCTTGACACCCACCCTAATGCATGGGAGCAACATCAAATCACATGTTTGAACGTTTGAAACCACGAAAAGCTTGCAAATGCGCGGCTAATGCGAGCCGACGTACGCCGAATCGCGATTCCGGCCAAACATGGTCTCGGAAAAGAGGTCACAGGTCAAAGGTCATTTGGGTCAGGGTCATGAAATTTTCAGGGTAGGTGTCAAATTGATCAATGCGAGGGTACTGAAAGTTTCGTCGCGATCGGCCGCTTTTTACGCGAGTTATTCGCGAAAAACCATGGGGGGTCCATCCGACCCCCCTACACATGCGAGGGTTAACCTTAGGACTCCTTTCGGATCCGCCAACACATTGCCTCAACATTCCAGGTGTCAAAGCTCAACATGTCTCTATGTGGTGTTTGCTTCCTACTTACAGATGCACGCATTTAGAAGCATGTCGATTCTGGACATTTTATCACCAAAAATGGTCCAAATATTCAGCAAAAACCCCCTCGGGTGGTTCATAGAATGGTCCTTTGGGTACCAAATCGGTCAGCGAAGGCATTTATATCACGAGAATGGAGCAGAAATCGGGTTGAATGTGGAGACTTCAACGCCAGAAACTGATTTTGATGGAAACTTGTCCATTCAACGACTCACAAGTAAAAGAAAATGCAGGATACTATACGGACGATAAGGAAAATGCTCAACCAGACATAAAATACAAGCCCAAGGCAAAGTTCCCAGACAAAGTCATGGTATGGGCCGCAATCTCAGAACAGGGCACCAGTCGCCCCTATATCGCATATAACAGTGCCATGAATGCTGCACCTTACCAGGAAGAGTGCATTCCACGACTTGACAAGTTTATCGAAGAAAATCACAACAAAGAAGACGTGGTATTTTGGCCAGATCTTGCATCCGCTCACTAAGCAAAAGACGTGCAAGAAGAGCTCAAGAAGCGGAACATCTCCACAGTTCCACGTGCATCCATTCCACCTGCGGCGCCCCAAATCAGACCAGTTGAGACGTTCTGGGCCCTGCTCAAGAAGGAGGCATATAAAGACGGGTGGTACGCGACGTCTGCAGTTGGTATGAAGAGACGCATCCAGGCAAAGATCCGGACCTTCGACAAAAACACCGTCCAACGCCTAATGGGAGGATTTCCGGATTTTTAGATGTGGACCTTTAGGTATGCTTTAAGGACGTCATCGCCATAGGAAATTCCACGCCAGCGTGACCAGTAAGAATTCATAAAGTAGGGTGTCCACGTCAATCTCAGTATCCTTGCTCTTATTTCAGTTTTCACTACAAGATTATCAGGGCTAAAGCTGGGAAAGCGGCGGGGGCACTGACTATTACCCCCAGGGCACCCCCTCTTTCTTCAAGTGGGGGCAATAATACCTAGTGACCCTCCTTCGTGGCCCCTCGGACCCCTATTTCTACATCTTTGAGCAAACTTCTAACTATTATTGTACAAATTTTATGGGGGCACTTCGCTAGTAGTGCCCCCTTTCAAAAAACAAGGGGAACCCGGTGCCCCGGTGCCCCCCCCCCCCGTTCCGCCGCCTATGTCTCGGCAGGCTCTCCCTGATGCCACTTAAACACCGTGGTTTTCACATGCCTACACTTTGCACGATCTCCTAGTGACTCTGTGGTACATGCATCATTTCATATACCGGGTGGCCCAAAAAAAACGTTCCGAACTTTGGAGGCCTATATCTCAAATTCGAGTGCAAATAACGAGCCAAAATTTTCACCAAGTTTGCATCACTTCTTTGCGCATTGGCATGCCAAATTGTAACAATGTACCATCATTTTCAAGCCAGCAATCTTATGTTGAATTAAGTAAGACGTTTTTGCTTTTTTTGCCGATGTTGAACGGAAGTGATGATTGGCTCAGACGTACTATGTTTGAAAAAAAATAGAAAAATAGAACACGTGAATGAAACCAGCACGTATGTTGTTATTTTAAATATTTTTTATCCCACTTAAGTGCCAAATATTCAAATAGGTAATGAGCCAAAATGGTGTTAATGGATGTCATTCGTTTCAACGCTAAGTCCTGTTTCGAGCGGAAGGAGTGGCACGGTGCATGGGTTACTGCTCATCGCCCTCCCTTCAAGATCAAACAGTAAATCGACCGAATAAAGAAAAAAAGCTAGACGGAATGTGTCACCCTGAGGCCTGAACCATCAGTGAGACTAGTTGCCAGTAGCAGTCATGGCTGCAGGCCGTGGTGCCAAGATGGAAGTGGCCCGTTCACTCACATTGTTTAGTAAACATCTGGGCAAAAAAGTATTTTTTACATGGCATGCTAGAAACACGAACCGTTTAAAAAGTAATTGACCGAATAGCATAAAAATCATACCATTCACTGAAAATATATGCCGCATTGACTATTGGAAGTTTCAGTGTTGCATCTTTATCACTTTCTGAGAAATATTGATTCAAAGTTGGGAACGTTTTTTCTGGGCCACCCGGTATAGCTGGCTGTCAGTGGTGCTGTGGACGGTGACGGTCGGACTCGCTGCCCGCGGCAGGACTCGCTGCCCCTGCAGCCGCAGCGGCCCGAGTCGCCGCAGTCGGAGCACAGCCTCGGATCGGCACCCACCGTGTCCGGCGGCGGCTACAGCTACGCCGCCAGCACCGGCTCCGAGCCGGCCTCGGCCGCCACCGGCGGCTCCATCCGCGGCATGAAGGAGGCGCTCCAGCAGAAAAAGGAGGCGCTGGTGGCGCGCAAACGCCAACTGGACGGCGCCGCGCCGCTGCGCGACTCGCACAGTGACGAGGTGAGCAGCGCGCGCGCGGTCAGCCAGGGGTCTGCAGCAGCAGAGCCGCCCAATAGACCGCCCGCTTCCGCGTCTACACCTGGAGCAGCCCGGGTGGCGGGCTCCGGGTTTCACTTTAGCTTCATTTTATCGCTAGCGCGGAACAAAACTGGCACTTCATGAAGGTGAATTCATAGGAGCATTGTTTAAATCCCATTTCAGCTCCTCTTCAGCTAGCATCTGAAGGTTCCGGCAGATGCTGACCAATGATCAGTGACCATGTCACAAACGGAGCTAGTCTTATACGCTGACCTGTGCACTAACCGGCTCTGTTTGGCGCCGCGGGCGCGCTCGGCGTCCGTTGGCAGGCGACCGACGACCCTGCGCGGCTGCATCAGAAGCTGGATGTGCTGCGCGCTCGGCTGGAGGTGCTCAGTCCGATAATCGCCCAGCTGGACGCTGACTACACGGCCACCGCCAAAGAGCTCAGCGACGGGAAGGTGCATAACCGACTCAATATAGGCCGACAACGGCATGAAGACGAAAATGGTTGACTGGCTAATCAAGCTAAAACGCATTCTCAATATTTCATTTTAGCATGTTCCTTCCTCTCCAATACTAAAATGAATTAATATTTCATAATTTAATCAGCCCTCTCTCTCTCTCTCTCTCTCTCCTCTCTCTCTCTCTCTCTCTCTCTCTCTCTCTCTCTCTCTCTCTCTCTCTCTCTCTCTCTCTCTCTCTCTCTCTCTCTCTCTCTCTCTCTCTCTCTCTCTCTCTCTCTCTCTCTCTCTCTCTCTCTCTCTCTCTCTCTCTCTCTCTCTCTCTCTCTCTCTCTCTCTCTCTCTCTCTCTCTCTCTCTCTCTCTCTCTCTCTCTCTCTCTCTCTCTCTCTCTCTCTCTCTCTCTCTCTCTCCCCCTCTCCGGCGCTGCGCCGTGACAGATGACCGCCTCGGAGACCAACATGAAGCTGATGGGGGACATTGCCGATCAGCGCAGCGCCATCGATAGCCTGGAGGCCGAGCGGCACGGCCTGGAGCAGCAGATCGCTCAGCTCGACGCCAGGCGCGACCAGCTGCTGCGCGACGGCTCACACGAGGTCAGTGGGCTCACAGCCGGGGCCGGCCTCAGACGGTCAGCTGGCTCCCAGACCACCTCTGGCCACAAGCTCAAAAGTATGGGCGCAAAAATGACCTTGTAGTGGGCGCCCCAAAGCACCGATAAACAAACAAATAATCGTGGAAGCTCAAACGATGCGATATTCTCCTTATTGGAGGGGAGGACATAGAGAGCTTCAATGAATTTATAATTTAGAGAATTTAGAGCTTGAATGGTATGTCGTTTAATTAATAAGAGCCCACCGTACCTCAGGCCCTCGGTGCTTTGCTGTGCCCTCAATAAGGACCACGGCGATGTGCCGCTGACGACCTGCTCCGCTGACGTGTGCCGCAGAGTGGCGCCCAGGCCCAGGCCCTGAAGGACCAGCGGCGCCCGCTGCAGGCCCGGCTGGCCAGCACGCTGGCAGAACTCGAGCTAAAAAAACTGGACACGTGTGCCATGATGCACGAGGCGGTGGCCGTCATCGAGCACGCCCGCCGGCGCGGCGAGACGATGGTACGGAGGGAGGGCTCATGGGCCGGCGCCGGTGGCGGGTCAGTAGGTACGGCTCGCGCGAGATTAAGCGGTAGGTTTTGATCTTTTACATTTCCGGCTATATCTCAGAAACTGATCGATCTACGATAAAGCCATTTTACACGATCATGGCCGGCTTGTGAACCAACAAGTCGATCGCATCTTCAACACTTAAAAGCATAAGACGACGAAGATATAGCCTGAAGTACACTAAATTTTCTAGGTGCAAAACCTACCGCTAAAACCCGCGAGACCTGTACCTATCACCTGGAAACAGCGGCCACTGAAGGGCCAACTCGTTCTGCAATGTCAAGGCCAATAGACATGACAATGAGATGCGTGCATGCAGTGTTGTACGACACTATAAAAGTTTAGCACCATACACTGTAAAAAAAGTTTAGCATTTGGGGTACTAACGGCTGCTATTCGTAGCACCTTTTAGCGTCAAAAGAACCCTACGACGTATTTACAAAGAAGCATGGTGCTAATACTGTGCTAATGATAGCTAACATTCCCATCAAATATTATAAGTTTAGATCACCTATTCTTCTACTGAGCTTAACGTCTACTTCTGCTAGTACCCAGTCCATCAGTGAGTGCTCTTTCAAGCTGGATTTCTAATTAGAACCATTTTAAGTGTTTTAGAAGTTGGTAATGCTGAATATGGTGCTTACGTTAGTATCACAATAGAACCGGACATGCTTACAGAGGAAACAAATTTGAAATTGGCGCCAAAGAAAGTAGCTAAGCCCTGCTTTACAAATCTCTGGGAGTCTTATCACCAGCCCTTTAGCACGTTTTGACGGCGCAGAGCGATATGCGCATGCGCGTGCCAGCTGTTTCCGGCCACGTGTTGCGCCATTTTAGTGGAGTCCGTTGGTCGTGGTGGGAGTGTGTGCACGTGCTCCGGTATTAGGTATATGAAGTGAAATGAAGTGAAGTGAAGTGCTCCGGGCACATGCCACCGAGTGATAGCTCTGGAATGATAGCTTAAATCAGCATTATCGGTGGAATCCGTCGTGCGTGGCATGGGAGTGCGTGCCCCTGCTCCGGGAGGCAGTGAGGTGGAGGGAAGTGCAGTGCAGCAGTGCAGTGAAGTGAAGTGAAGTGCTCCGGGGCCGGGTGGTACATGAGCATTTGCCACCGACACATGCCACCGACACCGACGTTGATCGACTTTGGTGAGTCTGACACGTTGTATCTTTTGACATTATCTTATATTGTTTAAGTGCTTCATATTCCGACTTTGCCAAATCGCGCTTCTTGGTCTGAAGGAAAGTTGTGTTGTTTGCGAAAATAGCTCCCAACAGAAAAAAAAAATCTTGGAACTGATCCAGTTTTTTTTTTTGCTCCAGGCATGGGGCCTGGTCAGTTCTTCCGTCGACCACCACTTACAATGGAGGACAACTACGACAACAACACGGGGTCTCCGGTTCCGTCTATCACTAAACGCCGTCTGGTCGTGGATGAGGTCGAACTTATGGCCATGAACGGAACGTCGGTTCAACGACCCCCCCCCCCCCCCACCGCCTCCCCCAATCGATCTCGCGTTAATCGTCGGTCACTGTGAGTGTGCAGGTATATGAGCGACCTTTCGTTATTTCCCGTGCGTTTGTTTGTGTATATATTTACATTTGTTTTTCATGCAGATGATATGAAGTGCTAATAAATGTTCCATTATTATTTTTTAATTTTATAATGTGTTGGATGCTTGAAAGATGCACTTACACGGGAATATTGCAGAATGCAAAGCACAATCATTGAGACTTGTAGTTATCACTTATCTAGGATATAACCTTTTTTGCACGTCTTTTCGGCCTTACACAATTTCCTTTTTGGTAATTGTTCAGTCCTTTTTGCAGTAACTAGTGAAAGTATGTGCTGCTAAAGAAAGCAGTTTTTGCGAACTTTTCATGCACACTGTAAAAAAAGTTTAGCATTTGGGGTACTAACGGCTGCTATTCGTAGCACCTTTTAGCGTCAAAAGAACCCTACGACGTATTTACAAAGAAGCATGGTGCTAATACTGTGCTAATGATAGCTAACATTCCCATCAAATATTATAAGTTTAGATCACCTATTCTTCTACTGAGCTTAATGTCTACTTCTGCTAGTACCCAGTCCATCAGTGAGTGCTCTTTCAAGCTGGATTTCTAATTAGAACCATTTTAAGTGTTTTAGAAGTTGGTAATGCTGAATATGGTGCTTACGTTAGTATCACAATAGAACCGGACATGCTTACAGAGGAAACAAATTTGAAATTGGCGCCAAAGAAAGTAGCTAAGCCCTTCTTTACAAATCCCTGGGAGTCTTATCACCAGCCCTTTAGCACGTTTTGACGGCGCAGAGCGATATGCGCATGCGCGTGCCAGCTGTTTCCGGCCACGTGTTGCGCCATTTTAGTGGAGTCCGTTGGTCGTGGTGGGAGTGTGTGCACGTGCTCCGGTAAATGAAGTGAAATGAAGTGAAGTGAAGTGCTCCGGGCACATGCCACCGAGTGATAGCTCTGGAATGATGGCTTAAATCAGCTATTATCGGTGGAATCCGTCGTGCGTGGCATGGGAGTGCGTGCCCCTGCTCCGGGAGGCAGTGAGGTGGAGAGACGTGCAGTGCAGCAGTGCAGTGAAGTGAAGTGAAGTGCTCCGGGGCCGGGTGGTACTTGAGCATTTGCCACCGACACATGCCACCGACACCGACGTTGATCGACTTTGGTGAGTCTGACACGTTGTATCTTTTGACATTATCTTATATTGTTTAAGTGCTTCATATTCCGACTTTGGCAAATCGCGCTTCTTGGTCTGAAGGAAAGTTGTGTTGTTTGCGAAAATAGCTCCCAACAGAAAAAAAAAATCTTGGAACTGATCCAGTTTTTTTTTTTGCTCCAGGCATGGGGCCTGGTCAGTTCTTCCGTCGACTATCACTTACAATGGAGGACAACTACGACAACAACACGAGGTCTCCGGTTCCGTCTATCACTAAACGCCGTCTGGTCGTGGATGAGGTCGAACTTATGGCCATGAACGGAACGTCGGTTCAACGACCCCCCCCCCCCCCCCCCCCGCCTCCCCCAGTCGATCTCGCGTTAATCGTCGGTCACTGCGAGTGTGCAGGTATATGAGCGACCTTTCGTTATTTCCCGTGCGTTTGTTTGTGTATATATTTACATTTGTTTTTCATGCAGATGATATGAAGTGCTAATAAATGTTCCATTATTATTTTTTAATTTTATAATGTGTTGGATGCTTGAAAGATGCACTTACACGGGGAATATTGCAGAATGCAAAACACAATCATTGAGACTTGTAGTTATCACTTATCTAGGATATAACCTTTTTTGCACGTCTTTTCGGCCTTACACAATTTCCTTTTTGGTAATTGATTAGTCCTTTTTGCAGTAACTAGTGAAAGTATGTGCTGCTAAAGAAAGCAGTTTTTGCGAACTTTTCATGCAGCAGCTTTAACTAGTATAGATATTCTACTTTCAGCCCCAATGCTTTCGTTAGCATTATTCTACTTGTCGTGGGGTAACAATAGCGCTAAAACGGTTCATATGTGAGTACGGAAGGTACTAACTGCATGCTATTCTTAGCACCTTTTAAAGTTTAGCACCGCTAGGGTACTGAAAATTGGTCTAGCAGGTGTAGGGTACTACATTTAGTACACGGGTGCTAAACAAATATGGGTACTTATATTAGCACCTTGATACTAAACTAGATCTCAGTTAAGTACGAATAAAATGCTTAGCTTAGCACCGCTAGGGTACTGAAAATTAGTCAATTGAAAAGTACCTCTATGGTGCTAAACTTTTTTTACAGTGCAGCAGCTTTAACTAGTATAGATATTCTACTTTCAGCCCCAATGCTTTCGTTAGCATTATTCTACTTGTCGTGGGGTAACAATAGCGCTAAAACGGTTCATATGTGAGTACGGAAGGTACTAACTGCATGCTATTCTTAGCACCTTTTAAAGTTTAGCACCGCTAGGGTACTGAAAATTGGTCTAGCAGGTGTAGGGTACTACATTTAGTACACGGGTGCTAAACAAATATGGGTACTTATATTAGCACCTTGATACTAAACTAGATCTCAGTTAAGTACGAATAAAATGCTTAGCTTAGCACCGCTAGGGTACTGAAAATTAGTCAATTGAAAAGTACCTCTATGGTGCTAAACTTTTTTTACAGTGTAGAGGTACTTTTCAATTGACTAATTTTCAGTACCCTAGCGGTGCTAAACTAAGCATTTTATGCGTACTTAACTGAGATCTAGTTTAGTATCAAGGTGCTAATATAAGTACCCATATTTGTTTAGCACCCGTGTACTAAATGTAGTACCCTACACCTGCTAGACCAATTTTCAGTACCCTAGCGGTGCTAAACTTTAAAAGGTGCTAATAATAGCATGCAGTTAGTACCTTCCGTACTCACATATGAACCGTTTTAGCGCTGTTGTTACCTCACGACAAGTAGAATAATGCTAACGAAAGCATTGGGGCTGAAAGTAGAATATCTATACTAGTTAAAGCTGCTGCATGAAAAGTTCGCAAAAACTGCTTTCTTTAGCAGCACATAGGTACTTTCACTAGTTACTGCAAAAAGGACTAATCAATTACCAAAAAGGAAATTGTGTAAGACCGAAAAAACGTGCAAAAAAGGTTATATCCTAGATAAGTGATAACTGCATACAAGTCTCAATGATTGTGTTTTGCATTCTGCAATATTCCCGTGTAAGTGCATCTTTCAAGCATCCAACACATTATAAAATTAAAAAATAATAATGGAACATTTATTAACACTTCATATCATCTGCATGAAAAACAAATGTAAATATATACACAAACAAACGCACGGGAAATAACGAAAGGTCGCTCATATACCTGCACACTCGCAGTGACCGACGATTAACGCGAGATCGACTGGGGGAGGCGGGGGGGGGGTCGTTGAACCGACGTTCCGTTCATGGCCATAAGTTCGACCTCATCCACGACCAGACGGCGTTTAGTGATAGACGGAACCGGAGACCCCGTGTTGTTGTCGTAGTTGTCCTCCATTGTAAGTGGTAGTCGACGGAAGAACTGACCAGGCCCCATGCCTGGAGCAAAAAAAAAAAAAACTGGATCAGTTCCAAGATTTTTTTTCTGTTGGGAGCTATTTTCGCAAACACAACTTTCCTTCAGACCAAGAAGCGCGATTTGCCAAATTAGTTGGAATATGAAGCACTTAAACAATATAAGATAATGTCAAAAGATGCAACGTGTCAGACTCACCAAAGTCGATCAACGTCGGTGTCGGTGGCATGTGTCGGTGGCAAATGCTCATGTACCACCCGGCCCCGGAGCACTTCACTTCACTTCACTGCCCTCCACCTCACTGCCTCCCGGAGCAGGGGCACGCACTCCCATGCCACGCACGACGGATTCCACCAATAATAGCTGATTTAAGCTATCATTCCAGAGCTATCACTCGGTGGCATGTGCCCGGAGCACTTCACTTCACTTCATTTCACTTCATATACCGGAGCACGTGCACACACTCCCACCACGACCAACGGACTCCACTAAATTGGCGCAACACGTGGCCGGAAACAGCTGGCACGCGCATGCGCATATCGCTCTGCGCCGTCAAAACGTGCTAAAGGGCTGGTGATAAGACTCCCAGAGATTTGTAAAGCAGGGCTTAGCTACTTTCTTTGGCGCCAATTTCAAATTTGTTTCCTCTGTAAGCATGTCCGGTTCTATTGTGATGCTAACGTAAGCACCATATTCAGCATTACCAACTTCTAAAACACTTAAAATGGTTCTAATTAGAAATCCAGCTTGAAAGAGCACTCACTGATGGACTGGGTACTAGCAGAAGTAGACGTTAAGCTCAGTAGAAGAATAGGTGATTACGAGTGAGCGAGCGCAGCGAGCGAAGCGAAGTCTTTTCAATACCAGTAAAACGCCTTTTGGGCGAAGAACGAGCGAGCGAGATAGTGAGCCCTGCACGTGCGGAAGGGCGAGAGGGTGCTTCCAACGGGCTTGCGCAAAGCACCCTTCTAACCGGTCGCTAGCGGTGTGCCAAATTTGAACGCAATCGGCCCAGCCGTTCCTGAGATCTGGAAGCAGCATTCTGCACGTGCGCACGTGCAAACGGGGTCCAAAATGACTTTTGCACGGCACCCTACTAACTGGTCCCCAACCGTGTACCAAATTTGAGCGCAATCGGCCCAGCCGTTCTCGAGATCTGGAAACGCCCCCTGCACGTGCGCACGTGCAGTAGCACCCTAACCCCAACACATGGGAATGCATTGCCTGGTGGGTGCCTACCTGTATGCCAAGTTTCAGCGAAATCGCCCCAGTAATTACCGAGCTACTGAAATGGGAACAAATTTGGCACCTCTTATTGTTGTATTTTGCACGTGCACTGGGGGTGACCCACATGCATCGAGAGTATCCTATTTTGGGTAGAAGTGATGCTGCTACCCTACAAAAATTACCGCAAGTCAATCGCCCAAGCGGCTGCTGAGATATGAGCCTCTCAAAATCACTACTTTTGCAAAACAGCTTGAACACCCTTGACTTTTCACGTGGCACGTGCCACGACGGTCACTGAGATGTATCAAAAGTAGTCAATTACGGGGTAGAAGGGATGGGGCTACCCAACAAAAAAGACCGCAGGCCAATCGGTCCAGCGGTTGCTGAGATATAAGCCTCTCAAAAGCGTTACAGGCCGGGCCGGGCCGGGCCGGGCCGGGCCGGGCCGGGCCGCTCATACTGAGATTTTTCCGTTATATTGAAAAGACTCACTTCGCTCGCTGCGCTCGCTCGCTCGTAATAACGGAAAAATCTCAGTATGAGCGGCCCGGCCCGGCCCGGCCCGGCCCGGCCTGTAACGCTTTTGAGAGGCTTATATCTCAGCAACCGCTGGACCGATTGGCATGCGGTCTTTTTTGCTGGGTAGCCCCATCCCTTCTACCCCGTAATTGACTACTTTTGATACATCTCAGTGACCGTCGTGGCACGTGCCACGTGAAAAGTCAAGGGTGTTCAAGCAGTTTTGCAAAAGTAGTTATTTTCAGAGGCCCATATCTCAGCAGCGGCTAGAGCGATTGTCTTGCGGTCATTTTTATAGGGTAGCTGCATCCTTTCTACCAAAGGTCGGATACTCTTCATCTATGTGAGTGACCCCCACTGCACGTGCAAAATACAACAATAAGAGGTGCCAAATTTGTTCCCATTTCAGTAACTCGGTAATTACTGGGGCGATTTCGGTGAAACTTGGCATACAGGTAGGCACCCACCAGGCAATGCATTCCCATGTGTTGCGGTTAGGGTGCTACTGCACGTGCGCACGTGCAGGGGGCGTTTCCAGATCTCGAGAACGGCTGGGCCGATTGCGCTCAAATTTGGTACACGGTTGGGGACCGGTTAGTAGGGTGCCGTGCAAAAGTCATTTTGGACCCCGTTTGCACGTGCGCACGTGCAGAATGCCGCTTCCAGATCTCAGGAACGGCTGGTCTAAACTTATTACGAGCGAGCGAGCGCAGCGAGCGAAGTGAGTCTTTTCAATATAACGGAAAAATCTCAGTATGAGCGGCCCGGCCCGGCCTGTAACGCTTTTGAGAGGCTTATATCTCAGCAACCGCTGGACCGATTGGCCTCCGGTCTTCTTTGTTGGGTAGCCCCATCCCTTCTACCCCGTAATTGACTACTTTTGATACATCTCAGTGACCGTCGTGGCACGTGCCACGTGAAAAGTCAAGGGTGTTCAAGCTGTTTTGCAAAAGTAGTGATTTTGAGAGGCTCATATCTCAGCAGCCGCTTGGGCGATTGACTTGCGGTAATTTTTGTAGGGTAGCAGCATCCCTTCTACCCAAAATAGTATACTCTCGATGCATGTGGGTCACCCCCAGTGCACGTGCAAAATACAACAATAAGAGGTGCCAAATTTGTTCCCATTTCAGTAACTCGGTAATTACTGGGGCGATTTCGCTGAAACTTGGCATACAGGTATGGCACCTACCAGGCAATGCATTCCCATGTGTTGCGGTTAGGGTGCTACTGCACGTGCGCACGTGCAGGGGGTGTTTCCAGATCTCGAGAACGGCTGGGCCGATTGCGCTCAAATTTGGTACACGGTTGGGGACCAGTTGGTAGGGTGCCGTGCAAAAGTCATTTTGGACCCCGTTTGCACGTGCGCACGTGCAGAATGCCGCTGATCTCAGGAACGGCTGGGCCGATTGCGTTCAAATTTAGCACACCGCTAGCGACCGGTTAGAAGGGTGCTTTGCGCAAGCCCGTTGGAAGCACCCTCTCGCCCTTCTGCACGTGCAGGGCTCACTATCTCGCTCGCTCGTTCTTCGCCCAAAAGGCGTTTTACTGGTAATATTTGATGGGAATGTTAGCTATCATTAGCACAGTATTAGCACCATGCTTCTTTGTAAATACGTCGTAGGGTTCTTTTGACGCTAAAAGGTGCTACGAATAGCAGCCGTTAGTACCCCAAATGCTAAACTTTTTTTACAGTGTAGTGTGGCAATAGACGCAATCCTTGCCGCCGTGAGCCATGCCAGGTCGGCGCGGTGCGCTAACGGTGTCTGTGTCTGCGCCATGCCGTGCGCCTGCAGCTGGACGCGGCGCCCGGCTACGTCTCCGACCAGGGCACGTCGTCCGGCTACGCCTCCGAGGTGCCCGCCCGGCCGCCGTTCGCCTGCGAGAGCCACGACCCCATGGCGCCGTGGTCGAGCGGCGGCGGCGGCGGAGTCGGCGGCGGCGGCGGCGGAGTCGGCGGCGGCGGCGGAGTGGGCGAGGTCGGCGGCGGCGGAGTGGGCGGCGGCGGCGGCGGCGGCGGCGGCGGCGGAGTGGGCGAGGTCGGCGGCGGCGGCGGCGGCGGCTTCCCTGCCCGGGGAGCTGGTGGCGCCCCCGCCGGCAGCGACACCAGCGACGGAGCCTACGCACGGCCTCTGTCGGCTACCTCGTCTCCGTCCGACCACGACGTCATTCTGCCATGGAACATGCGGGCAAGTACCTGCATCCAGCCCATGGGAGATGGAGATGGCACAGGGAACCCGCTGGAATAGTCAGCATAAACATGTCTTTAGTCTGGACCAGTGTAGAAAATTATGCTGGGGCCCGTCAGATTACAGACTTACATAATTTTGCTTTTCAATATTCTTTTTTAACATTGTTTCGCTATGTGTCGTATTTTAAGTACATTTTATCAGTGGTTTGAACTGACAAGGTAGGACAGTCAACCAGGAAATCATTCCAAACGTAGGTAAATGGCCAAACTGAGCCGCTTGGTGGCGCTGCCGGTTGTAACAAATCTCGCACTGGTGAACAGACGACCGACCCATAGAATACCTATATTACTATCGGGTGACTGGAGCGGCGTCCGGTGTGGTCCGAGTGCTGGGACGATGAGTGACCCCTGCCCCGCTGCCCCCGACAGCCGGCGGCCAACTATTACTTCCTGCCACCGGGCGGCGGCGGCGGAGGGGCCACACCGCCCACCCCCGGTCCGGGCGGTGGCGGCGCAGGCGCAGGCGTCGTGCCACCCGCCGTCGGCCCGGCCGGCGCGCCGGGCTCCTCTCCAGGCGGCGGCGGCGGCGGCGGCGGCGGGCAGAACATGCACGCCTTTGACGACGCGCCCTATGACGGCCCTACGCCCTACACGAGCACCAGTCTGCGACGGGTCTTCGAGGCCGGCACACCGCACCCAGTAAGCGGCGACAACCGCAATGAGCTGTGACTGCCGACTTGCAGGCGCGCCGCCGGCACCGAGAGGGCCGCACGACAATGTTACTTGCCGACTTAGGTGTCTTATTTACGCATTTGTATACAGAACTGAAGCAAAAAGTACCTGAGCTTATTATGAGGTAAATATCGCCGCCAATTCGGAACTACAGGGTGTCCCAGAATTACCCGAACATTTATTTTCTGGCTAAAAATACGATTGCGCTCGACTCTAATGATATACAAGCATCATACTTTTATAAGATATCCCTTAGCTATCGAGATTGGGGACTGTGTGCTTTTGGTAACCGGTAACGACTCGAGTCAATTATTATCCAGTGTCAAGTATAGGTAAGAGTAGTCCTTTTCCGTTTTCAGCTTATGTAAGCCACTAATAGGCAACCATGGTGAATCAACTCCCGTTCTCAACTTTGTAAACGGACTTTCGGCATGGCTTTTGCTGGAAAGCTTCAGCAGCTCATCTGCAAGCAGTTAGGATTGAGCAAAGCGCACTTATATCAGCTAACGAAGCCAGAGAGAGCAAGAGATAAACCTGCTTGACAGGCTTGGGCTCGGCCAAAAAGGGCCATGCACCAGGTGTCAAACGGGTGGTTGCTTGTCATGGACAACAAACGTCACTGATCTAGCTCAAAACTAGTTAAACGATAGATCAGGATTATCTACAAAACATCAGTCTACTTTGCACCACTATCTTCGACACAATTTTGGATTTGGGGTCCTTCGCCTGAAAAATATGCGAAAACTACGGGAAAAGTAGCGCAAATCACTACAATTCATCCCAAAAACAACATATACAACAAAAAAGTATATTGAAGCACACTTTATGGTCTAACGAAGGTATTCTGTCATTTGAGCCGCCCGGAAAAGGCTTGTGTGAACGTCAGATGGCTACAACGCCCCAACAGCAGAGACGGCCAGGCACCCGTCGAAAATCAAATTGTGAGACATTTTGAGCCACCGTGCCCTCATTCGGCTTGATATGATGGCCCAAAGACAACCGTTAGCACAGAGTACTACTGCGGTAATATTCGACCAGTACAAAAACTGGATGCCATGAACCAAATGGCCATGAACGGGTTTGTTTTGGAAACCAAATCTGTTGGAAACCAAAGGTCGCGCCATGATCAGACATGGAGCTTCTCCACTTCAGATGTAAAAAACGGGGCACTAAGTGGTAAAGGCAGAAATTTTTGTTTTGGGGGATTATGTCTTATGGCCTGGAAACACTTTGATGTTAAGTTTATCTTATATGATCGGATTATCCTCCGGCAAGAGGTCAAAGAAAACAGGCCTACACCCAGTTTCGGGAGACCCGTAAAACAACTGAGACCAGCAATGGCTGGCATTTTCCATCATTGTCGGCTGATCTCGTAACAAGCGTATTTATTGCATGTGCTATTTCACAGCCACCCTAGTTGACTATATAGGACGATAAAAAGAAAAAGCGCAATCATATTTGCTTTATTTTATACGCTAATTAATAATGTTCGGGTAATTCTGGGACACCCTGTATATTTAGTTATGGATTCATTATAAAAATAATACTAACCACTGTTTAACTTTTCATACAAACACATAATTTTGTACATTGTACATACAAGTCAGTCGTTTGAGGTCTACGGCATCAAATGCAGAAATACAATCAAACCCGGCCTAAATGTTTCAAGTAAATTTACAAATTTACAGGGTAAATTTACCATTAAATTTTTACTTAAGAATTTACATTGAAAATAAATTTACATTGTCTAGATACATATAGAAACAATTAACTTAATGAATACACATCCAGTACATAATCGCCCCCTGTATGTGCAATATCGATATTGTGTTAATACAGGATGTAACAACTTTTGTGTTTCATATGAAGCTGCGCTTCAGCGGCCAGCGCCGGTAAATCCTTTCCAATAAACACATCAGTCTCAGCAAACCGCCGTCAAATATAGCAATATCGGGGAACGACAGCACGGCGTTCGATGAGAATGCATCGGATAATGTATTCGCTGCATCAAGCACAATACTTTTACCAATGTGTAACAGTACTTTTAGTACCCTTGCTTTACCTACGTGTATCGCAAGAGACCAGTTTACATAGAGTTTGTCATCGAACCTTTGTCGATTTATCATTTGATTGCTATAAATAGAATACCCTGATATTAAAAAGCACTTGTAAAACACCAGGCGTCTATCACAGCATGCAGCTGATGCGTCACAGTGCTGTATAGCTTATTATTCTAGAAAATGCTAATAGCGCTCCCAGCTACTAATGATGTTGTGGCCGCTGTTGCGGCAGCGGGTGTCCGGCCTGCATTTGTTATTGCGGTGGTCGAGCGGCGCCGCGCAGCGTGCAGCAGGTAGTGACCGATGTCGGTGTCCGGCTGCCGCCAGTCGTCGGGCTACGAGAGCTCGCAGACGACCACGTCGGACGAGCCGGCCAGCTCTGATCACGGCACCGAGGTGGGCCCGCCATCGGCCACCAGCTCGGAGCCCTCCGAGACGGCAATGGTACACAGCCAGCCGCCGCCAACCGCACACAAACGACCGTTTGCGCCATGCGCATGCTGCTCCACTCTTGGTGATCAGCCTATCTAAATCCAATTAAAGATCGTCTTTTGAAAACAGATCATTGTTTGAGGCCTGAATCGTCAATAAATTTGTTTGTGTAAAGGGTGCAAGAGTGGCTTTCTGTCGATTTATCTTGAAGCGTGTTGTTTATGTATGCTGATCATTCGCGAAAGCCTATCTTAAATGAAAATGGTAGTAGGCGCATTGTCAAGACCAGTATTGTGCGAAGTGGTCAATGGGATTACAACTCATCCCCATTTTTCAGATGGGAGCTGAAGACTTGAGATCGAATACTGCTTTCCAGCGATACGACCAAGAACTCGATGCAGCCATGGTACCAAAGCCGCTTGGTGTCAGCGGACCGACTCGCCACTCTGACGACTATGATGCATACATTCCATACATTCCCAACACCAGATGTCCGCCACGAGTCTATAAGAAGTTCATCGCTTATAGCTCGTAGGCCGGGCGTGTCAAGCAGGCTAACGAAAATTTCAGTACTTAAAAATTACAGCAGCAGATTTTAAACATATTGTTTTCTTCTGATAAATAATGCACCATTATCAACGGTTCGTCCAGATGCCAAGTATACCCACCCACAGTTGATATGATAATTGCAAGCAGTCTGCAACGTGACGCCAATTTTGCGCCCGCGGCCATTGGACCCGTCGCAAATCCCCGCCGAGTCTCACATGGGCCTACATACACGTGCACCACAATCGCATCGTCTGCCGTTCAAGCAACGTTCGTAAGGAAAGGTTCGTAATTTACCTCCAAATTTAAACTTAAATTATAAACTAAGAATTAAAGCATTCCCTTTTTGCCTAACAACGACATCAGGACTTTTCATGCAGATGTTGCCAGAAAAGACATAGCAAAAATTGTGTAGTATTCGCGATACTTCAAGCCGTAAGCTGTAAAAGGTTCGTAAATTTGACGTCCGTAAAGCAATGTGAATCGTAATAAATTTAATCACCCCCCCCCCCCCCCAATAGAGACCACCAAACGTCCATCACATTTGAAAAATAGCCGCTGGAAAGTCAGTTTCAAAGTGGGCCGAGAACGAGAGGTCAGGTCATCGCCGTTTTCAACTTTGGCTTCATGATGGATCAGGAGCTACACAATCCAGCTAAGGTGTTGGCAGGCTTCGATATCCTCTGATGAAAAGCCATCCGTCTAAGCCGTCCGAAACGTACATACCAAGTCCTGTTTAAAACTACACTTCTTTGTGAACGGTATGATAAATCAAAACCCTAAGTACCACACTCACAATGACACATCTTTAACAACGGTAACTGCTGCGGGCGATCGCTCGCTGTACATTGTGTGCCTTCTGATGAATATGTAAAAGCAACATCTGTGCGAAACTGCCGTTCAAAAAGGGAATCGAACCGTTTCTTTACGAACGTTTCTTTTACGAACCTTTCGAGGCAAAAGATAGCCTACCACGCAAGGCACATGAACAATAGGTATGCAAGCCATAATGCCATAAAGCCTATTGTCTTTTTTAAGTTCGATCCTCACTGTAAACATCGGCTTGAATATCGCATGAGAATTGCGAGATAAATTACTTAGAAACCCCGCTAGCGCACATAGGATTCAACGGTTGAATAGCATTGTCAAAATGATTTTACCTGACTCCTATTTGCCCAATTCACATGAAAAATTCGCCGGTTATTATAGTCCCAAAGCGATTTATAACTGGTCGGGGACTTGAAGTCCTTAACCCTCGCCGGCCGAGGGGGGGGGGCGGGTGCCGCCCCCCCCCCCCATAGGGTTTTTTCACGATAGCTCCGAACACGCTGGCGATAGAGAGCTGAAACTTGGCATACCTGACCTTTGATCCAAGCCGGATCTTTTGACACCAACCGCATTTTTGGGTCAGGTCAGGTCACTGACCTATGACGTCATAAGTGAACCTCTGCACGGTCTTCAGATGTCGCAACTTCGCAACGCCCTCACTGCCAGAGGAGATGTCACAGGGAAATGAAACTTGCAGGATCTAGTATCCATTATGAGTCCCACAACTTGTATATCTCGGATTTTTCCTAAAGGTCATATGAGGTCAGGTCATTTTCGTGACCTCACCATTATAAGTCAATGGGGAAAAATGAAAAGTGCTATTCTGGCGCCGGGAACGATCTCCAACTATCTCAAGCACACAGAATCGTGATTTGATGCACTCCTTGCAAGGTTAGATGCGTCACTTTTGCAATGTTGACCTTGCGTGACGTCATTTATGACGTCATCAAGGTCATATTAGTTTTTCGTCAATAACTCTTGATCAAATTGAGCTAGCGAGTCGGAAAAGCCACCAATGGACTCAGGAAGACCTGCCGAATCGAATGATATGCGACATGACCTCTTTCGACCAACTTCGTGACCTGGGGGTGCTGACCTGACCTTGACCTGAGGTCAACACCCCAAGTTGACCTGACCCGAACAAAAAGTATATCGTTCGACGCGCCTGAGCGAGACGAACACGATGCTGCCAAAATCGGCGCTCTGCGGCCGTTTTTTGCGAAGTTATTTACCAAAAACTGAACCGTACCTTGGGGCACTTGACCTGACCTCAGAGGTCACCGGTTGACCTAGGACCTTAAAATCGGGTACCAATCTCTGCGTCTCGTAACGGCGCACACGCTCGTTTTTTCCGCGACGCGCTAGCTCCACCAGGGGCGAAACGGCGAGGGGGGGTCGTACCCGCCCCCCCCCCCCCCTCGGCCGGCGCGTATGTAGAAAACCAATAGGTCCGGCGAGGGTTAACCCGGCGGCCGCTGGGACGTCGCACCACCCACGAGCCCTGGGGGGAGGGGGAGGGGGTAACTTGTTGCTTCCCCCATTTTACTTCTCCGGTGATACCGTCGCAATGCGTGGAGCTAGAGAAACGAAACTTTGCACATGTATTTCTGATTGCGTAGCCGTAGTAGTGTCAAAATTTGGTGTCAATTTCATTTGAAATGACGTCACAGTGACGTCAGAAGTCTAATTATAGAGGACCGTTTCTGAGTTTCCGATAGTTTCCGATAGAACCTAGTTTTCAACCGAGCACTGAGCACGAACTTGCTGAAAATGCACTTAGGTGTGTCCAGTGTCAGGACGGCAGCAGGTGCTCTTAAGTTTATTTACCGTTCGTGTCATGCTCAGTGATATCAGAAACGGTCCATATCGGAAAACGACAAAAGTTTATGACGTTACTGTGACCTCATCTCACATCTTAAGTGCTACCACCTTTGAACTCCTCAAATATGGCCTAGGTATTTATTTGATGCCATGCCAAGTAACAAATTCATATCTTATCAGGTTTCGGAACACCACAGCAAACGTATAGGGAAGGGGGGGGGGGTAACTTTATACCCCCTTCCCCCAAGTAGCTCGTGGTGGGGCTCGTGTAGCTCAATATCGTGGGTTAATCGTGGCAAGGCGTTTAGCGCTTCGGTGTCCTGACTGCGTTGAAAACATTTTCACAATATCATTCCTCTCTTACTATATACAGTGTGCGCTAACCCTTTCCTCGGCCATTTTATCAGCAAGTCTCGTGCTATGTTAAAAAAAGCTTACAATGAGGGTCGAGCTTAAAAAACGAATGATGTCTTTTACATTATTTGAACGTGAGGCAATCCTAACTTCTTTTCCATATGAAGAAAGGTATGCATTATGCATTAACCCGCGCCCCATTGGGGGGGGGGGTATTCATAGCCCCTCCCGTTTTTCTGCAATAACTTCCAAACCGCTTGACGTATCGACGCCAAACATTCAGTACCTTCGGCTGCATTAATTTGACATCTTGCGTCAAAATTTGAACTTCGTATCTGTCATAGGTCGGCCGGAAACGACGTTAGAGTGGCGTCATGTTCGGCCGATTTCGACGCAAAACATTGAACCACGGCAATCGCTCCCAAGAGCTCAGTTTTTAAGCTAGATCTTAGGTATGTCTTTGCATTAGAGGGCTCAGAATAGACTGCGCTATATACTGCTGTCTCATATTTTCAAAATTGTGAAAATTGTGAAAATTATGAATAATGAAATTCAAAATTTATATTTTAATATTTATTTCAAAAACTTTTTGACTTTTCGAAAAAACGGAATACCTATATGTGATAGAACACATGCTTATATGACTTACTATAGCAAGTGTGAGCTAAATATCTTCAAAAATGGCCAAATTATACGCATTATTGCAAAAAATATAACTATCATACATTTTTTTCAAATCAATTTTTCAGTACGTTTTTGACATCGTAAACCAATGTAAATAGCACCATCGTGTTCCTGAGCTCAAACCGCATCCAATAGACACCTTTTTTGCTGAAAAAAATTAACTTCAAAATTTGACCTTTTTTGATCTGTGACCTGACCTAAGCTAAATTCAACTCAAAATGACCTCAAATGACACAAACGACATCAAATTCGAAATCTTTGGCCTAAATGGACCATAAAACATGTGTCACGTGACAGACGCATGATAAATTATTTTCGTGACCTGTGATGACCTGACCCTGACCTGAAAATCAAAGTACAAGTTAGGTTCCCTCAGGGTATCTAAAGCATCTGTTCACGAGTGTTTAAACAAAAAATGAGCCTGATCTGAATTGTAAGACGGCGGCCAGAGCCCAAAATGTGAACAAGCCAAAATGCTAATAATTTTTACTTTGACCTGACCTGTGACGTCATCGGTTACCTTGAGGTCAATGAAATTAGGTTTCGCGCGGCAGTTTTTCCGGGGCTATCAGAGCCGTATGAATTTTGACGATCGGCCCAGTAGTTTCGGAGTTGGAAGGGGGGCTATGAAGAGCCCCCCCCCCCCCGAGTAGGGTGCGTTATACGCAGACCCCAGTGGGCCAAACATGGTCCCTGAAAGTAGGTCACAGGTCAAAGGTCATTTGTATCAGGGTCATAAAATTTTCAGAGTAAGTGTAAGATTAATCAATGCGAGGGTACTGAAAGTTTCGTTGCGATCGGCCGCTTTTTACGCGTTATTCGCAAAAAAAAAACGTTAGGAGGGTTGCATCAACCCCCCTGTGCCGGCGAGGGTTAAAGGAAGACTGCCACCTTCAAAAAGTTTTCTCAGATCGGCCTATGATTTATTCCCTGGACAAAACAAAATTTTAGAATTCACCTGACAAAGTATCATCACGTGAATCGCGAAAAAAATGTCGATTATCATACAATTATCAATCGGTTAATGTCTAGCGACAATGTTTACACATCACTAGACTTCAAGGTCATAAGATTATTACATTTTATTTGAAAAAGTAAGGTATTTTATGATTTACTAATATATGATTTCATAAGAAATTGGCCATGTTTAATTTATTTTGCATTTAAGTTCGTAAAACATTTTTAAAAATCATGGCTCATTTGGAATGGGTCTGGCCCATGTTAAACCCCATTTCCCACACTTTTTTGGAAAAAATGAACTACTGAATATATAAGTTTAACTTTTATTTTGACACTCCAAAATTCTTCTCTGATCTCGAAACAATCAAAGTTTTGACATATATTTACCAAAAGATAAGAAAATTCGTGTTTCAAAGTTATCGATAAACAGTAGAGATGTCGGTTTTCTTGGACTAAAAAAATGGCATCAAACTGAACTTTGGTCTCCGATTTCTCGCAAACGGGTTCGAATTTCGGAAAACCGACTTCAGTCTGGGACATAGGTGGCTCAGCTCTAGTGAAAACCGTTTTGTGGAAAAAAAGGTGGCAGTCTACCTTACTGGTAGACTGCCACCTTTTACACACAGATGGGCAAGGGTTGGATCAGATTAGGTCAACTGTAGTCAAAAACGTTTTTGCTTATAACTTGACACACAGTTAACATAGAGCTCCAATAAACGGTGTCGTGTTCACTGTTCCTCTCAATCAGCCGAGTCGAATGATACGCGACACGAAACGCTTCTAATTAGCTTAGGAGCACGCCGGACGGGGGTTAGCATATGCATACCTCTCCCATGATAAAAATCATGGTTAACAAAACTTACAGACATTGGACTATAATTATCCGCTATGGATACTTACCTACAGCAGCTTTAGCTTTTCTATCGTTCGCACAAAACGTCTAGCTACTTTGAGACCAGCTCCGGCTCCTGAAGCGGCCAGCGCGATCCACTGGATCAGAGTGGGTGGTGCAGAGCCCACTGACGCCGCGGCCCGTGCGTTCTCAGCTGGGCGCCGAGGATCTGCGCTCGTCGTCGGCCTTTGGGCGCGCCTTCGGCCGGCCGGAGCCGGGCTCTGCGGCTGCGCCCGGCGCCCGGCAGGGCGTTTCCGACAGCGCCATTCCGCTGGTGTACGCCACCAACCTGGGCTGGCAGGCCGTCAGCCCAGCGCACTGGAACACGGGCGACCAGACGCCGCCCACGCCGGCCGCCGAGGAGAGTCTCCAGCACTCCGCCTACGCCAGACGGTCAAAAAACGCGCAACGGGCCGCGCCCGCTCCCCGTGAGCTCGGAGCGTGGCCCGCGCGCAGAACACAGTCCGGCGGCAGCGACAGCGCCGACATCGCGTACATGAGCGGCCTCAGCTACCCAGCCGACGCGCCGCTCCACTGGCCCGGCTCCACAGCCACGCCGGGCACGGCCGGCGGCCAGTCGCCACCGCCGGCCACCGGCTACACGCAGGGTCTGAGGTGGGACACGGCGGCCGACTGGCCGGCCAGCCGCACCACGCCCAGCCGCTCGCGGGACCAGCTCGACTCGCCCGGGCCCGCCTCCGAGGAGCGTATCCGTGGCGTGGCGCAGCAGATGATGGCGCGTGTGCCGCAGTCTCGGCCGTCCTCTGGCCAGGCGCTGTTCGGTGCCGGCTACACGCGCGGGCCGCTCCACTGGCCGCCGTCGCCGCCGACTCCGCTGGCCGGCGACACGGTCACCGTGGACGCAGAGCGGCGCACGGTGGTGGTGCGCCACGGCGCGCCGCCGCAGCAGCCCGGCTACACGTCCGGCCTGGCCTGGACGGGACCCACCGACTGGCCGGGCAGCAGCTGCGCCACGCCGGCGCCGCCCTCGCGGGAGACGCTGGTACGCGCCCAGTCTCGGCCCGGCTCCTCGGTAGCCGCCCCGCCGGCCGAGCACTCCTCATCCGAGACGCTCGTCCAGACCCAGGAGGACGGCAGCCCGCGACGCGACGTCAATCTGCCCTGGAACGTTCGGGTGAGTGGCGGCCCACCGCTAACTATCTCCCACCAGCAACAGATGGTGGACCATTGCTATAGCTATTGTTAGCCAAGGGCCCGATGCGTGTGACTTGCATAAACTGCATTCCCTTGCCCTTTCTAATTCACGAATGGCGCGGGATAGTTGTGTTCGCTATTCAGCAGTTACTAAGAGTACTGAGTGATGTGCCAGAGTCGGGGACCACATAACGCTAACACGTGAACGTCGTGTCGTTGTCAGCCGGCATCCAACTACACGGCGCCGACCGGCGACAGCACAGCGACACCGCTGTACGAGCCGCGGCCGGACTCTGCCGACTACGACGGTCCGACGCCCTACACGGCCGCCAGTCTGCAGCGCATCTTCGACGAGGGCATCGCGTACGAGGCGTCCAGCATCTACTACACACCGCCGCAGGAGTGCTGCTCCAAGGAGGACTACTACACGCCCTTCCAGTCGGCCAACGAGATGTTGGGAGACAGCAGCGCCTCCGAACACGAAGCCGAGTCAGACCACGAGCAAACGGTGCGTGTGCTCGAGCCAGGCTTCTCGCCAGAGGCCGACGAGCCCTACTCCAAGACACCGAGCGGGCACAGCCTGACGGACGACAGCCGGCCGGCCTCCGCCTACTGCGAGCGAGAGCAGTTCCCGACGCGCTCAGCGCGACTCATGAGCCGCTACGAAGGCGTGCAGCCGTGTCTGCCACGCGAGGCGCTGCAGAGGACGGCGGACGCCTGCTCCGAGCCCTTCTCATCGCCACGCGACGGAGATCCGGAGCGCGCCGCCGAGTTTGGCTACGAGCCGGCGCAGGGTGAGTATGGCTACCAGCGGTACCCGCAGGGCTACGAGCCTCCGCAGATGTGGTACGGGCACGACCGCGCCTCACTGCCCTCGGAGGCCGGCTCGGAGGGCGTGGCCGGCACATACGCCACATCCGACTACGCTCAGTCACACGCCGAGTCCGAGTATCCGACCAGCGCGTCGGAAGGCTCCGAACTGGCGTCACTGGCACCGCGCGACGGCGATGACCCTAGCTTCGACGGTCCCAGTCCAGATACTGCGCGAACATTGGCTAGCATCTTTGAGGCGGGCACCGGCAGAGCCGCCAGCGACGACGGTGAAGGCGGTGGAGGGGGATCCGACGGTCAGGACGGCTTTTCACCGGAGGGCTACGAGCCGGCGCAGGGCGAGTATGGCTACCAGCGGTATCCGCAGGGCTACGAGCCTCCGCAGATGTGGTACGGGCACGACCGCGCCTCACTGCCAGGACAGGCTCCTTCCGGACCACCAGCCTCCGGCGGCGAGACTGCGGAGAGTTTCGGTCACACAGTCCCTGAGGATGGTGAAGATTATGAATCTGTGAGCCCGGACACCAAGAAGACACTGGCGAGACTATTCCAGGAGGAGACTCCGTACCCAGTGGAGGCTGAAGGGTCTGACGGGGGAGGCGGAGCGGATGGCGGGCCACCAGGGCCAGGAGACGGCGGTGACGAGCCATACGAGCCGGCGCAGGGCGAGTACGGCTATCAGAGGTATCCGCAGGGCTACGAGCCTCCGCAGATGTGGTACGGGCACGACCGCGCTTCGCTGCCAGATCAAGGCATATCGCAACAGCCTAAAACTGATATCAGTCAAACGACCCCGTTGTCGCAAGACGCCACTGACTTCGATTACATCAGTCCAGACACTACTAAAACATTGGCTGAAATACTGGAGCACGGCGCTCTCTCAGTGGAGGGTGGCGATAAACCCAGGCCCGACTCTGAGCCTTACGAGCCGGCGCAAGGCGAGTACGGCTACCAGCGGTACCCGCAGGGCTACGAGCCTCCGCAGATGTGGTACGGGCACGACCGCGCCTCACTGCCAGGGCAGGCTCCTGCCGACGCGGCGGATTTCAGCGGGTCGGCTACAGAACCGATCGAAAACCAGACGTCCGTCAAGGATGAGGACTATGAATCCGTCAGTCCAGACACAAAGAAAACGCTGGCGAGGATATTTCAGGACGAGACTCCTTACCCAGTCAAGACAGATGAGTTCGATTCGGGTACTGGAAGTGGTGCAGATGGCAGTCCACCAGGGGCCGGCCAAGGTGGTGACGAGCCATACGAGCCGGCGCAGGGCGAGTATGGCTACCAGCGGTATCCGCAGGGTTACGAGCCTCCGCAAATGTGGTATGGGCACGACCGCGCCTCGCTGCCGGGGCAGGAAGCCGCAGAGCCAACTCCCGCTGCTGAGCCAGCACCTGCTACAAGCGGTGCTGCTGAAGAAGACTTTGACGCCATCCAGCCAGACACCACCAAAACGCTGGCCAAGATATTCGACGAAGGAACGCCGAGTGGCGGAACGACGGCGGCAGGGGGGCCGGTGGAAGTGGTGGCCGAGGACTTGGCGGCCACTTGCCAGGACGACCTCAGCAGATGGTCAGAGACATCCATCGGTTCGGCTGAGACGCCGCCGGCCTCACGCAGCATGGAGTACATCCCCGCGTCGGGGATGTACGGCTTCCAGCCACTGTTGGGACCGCCAAGCCGTGGCTCACTGGAGCACATGCCGCCTTCAGACGGTACTTACACGCAGAACCTGTGCGTGTGGCAGTGTCCTGACAACTGGCCTCCAACGCCGTCCACACCGCGTTCCAGAGAGGATATTACCGAGGGATCGCCGGCACAGCCCACCACCGACCTTATGGAAAAGTACATGGAAGGAATACGCTGGGACAGGCCCGACAAAGACTGGCCCCAAACTCCCGACACGCCCAGCTCGAGGGAGGATTTGCCATCACTGCAATACACCCACGGTCTGCGGTGGGATCACGTGAAGGACGCTCCCGTGCCCACACCTCCAACGCCTGGCTCTCAGGAGAGACTACCGCAAGCCGACGTCCGTCAAGCCAGCGACGAGAACTTCGACCTTGTCAGTCCGGATACCACGAGGACCATGGCCGCATTGTTCGAGGAGGGCATTCCGTATATGACGCACCAGGAGCCGAAACAGGTCGCCGATGGCGAAGGTTACGAGCCGGCACAAGGAGAGTACGGCTACCAGCGGTATCCGCAGGGCTACGAGCCTCCGCAGATGTGGTACGGGCACGACCGCGCCTCGCTGGCCTCTTTGCGCAGCTCGCAGGACTTGGGAAGTCAGGCGGTGTCGTCGGCTGACCCATCACCGGCCATCACCCCGCGCCCGACCGTCGGCTACGAGCCTGCTCAGGGCATCTACGGTTTCCAGAGAGTGTTTGCCGATGTGGCAGGTGCGGCCTCGCCGGCCCCAGCGGCCGCCGCCGAGTCGGCCGAAAACTTCGACGGCCCGAGTCCGGACACGAGCCGCAGCCTGGAGCGCATTTTCGAGGCCGCCACGGGCACGGTGGGCGAGCAGCGGCCACTGACGCCGTCGCCCAACCTGCCGGCCTTCCTGGAGAAGCTGACGAGCAGCTCGGAGTCGGAGGACAGCGCCAGCCGGCGGCGCGGACGGACCTCCGACTCGGTGCCGGCTGTGCGCGTGCCCCGCAACCGGTTCTACTCGATGGAGGAGATGTGCACAACGGCCCCGAGCCAGCCGAATCTGTCGCTCACGTCGGCGAGCTCCCACGGCCGCGCCACGCCGCGACCTGGCGACCAGCAGTGCTACCTTCCCTGGACGCACCGGGTGAGTAACAACTTCACTTACATGAACTAATGCCACTTAACGCGTCACAACCGGCCAAATACTTGCTCAAATACTGATCCCATGTATATTGTAGACACATGCTGGAAGGCGCCAGTGCCAGAATATGAGTCTCACTTTGGTCAGTTCTATTTACATCCAACAGCTATGCCTTCAAAACGATTGCTGGTCTTTTTAGCACACAGTTGAAATCTTATGTAGTAAGACTCTTACATGATTGTGTTTACTGTAAGATGCATTTTGAGGTCAGTCATGTTACATGTAACAGTGGCGTGGTGTTTTCAGGCGTCCGTTCCATACAGAGAGCCGCGGGGAGCTCAGTTTGTCGAAGATTACCAGGAGCCGCCGCTGGTTGACATGGACGATCAGGTGCGCTTATAAATATAGCTTTAAAAGATGTTGTAGCTAGGATCACATAACTTTCAAATATCACTGTCACTATCACTTATATTGTGTTTCTTATTGCGTAACAGATCGCTGATGGTAATATTCTGCCGTCCAAAGGCAAAAACGATAACGTTAGGTCAGAGATCATTACGTCAGGCCAAAGGTCACCCGAGCGTAATAGTATTGGCCTTTGCATGGCAATATTGTTTATGAAACAGCAATGTATTGTGTAATACAGTTTAAGTCCAGTATATCGGTTGAGCCAAGTCAGGCACCTTCGATTAGATACTAAAGGTTTAGCGTTGGTCGTTGCAGATCAGTGTGCCCACGCCGACGTCTGCCCACTCGCGCCGGTCGGGCTCGGAGAAAACCGAATCGGAGAAAGAACCTCCCTCCGAGGTGAGACATCGATCAGATCATGTCCAATGAACGTACGGACCTAGCTATACGCACTTACGTGTTTAAGCTGAACTCAAGCGCTCCACGTGGTTATTTCATCGACTGGGATGCAAATGATTCTTACTCAGAAATATTGCAGAACAACTTAATATTTATCTACAGCTGTCACGTAGTGCATCTATTTCATCTTCTATTGCCTTCATGAGACAGATCATTTAAGCATCTAAAATCTTCGATACTTCTTATATCGATGCCGTTTTGGTTTTGCAGCCTCGCGCCGACTACTTCACACCGATGGGTTCCAAGACCGAGCCGCCTCCCGAAGACTACCAACCGGTCAGTGTCAGCCAAATCATACAAATCCATCTGTGCAGTGTGCAGGAAAGAGGTCATGGAAATTTAACTCTGTCAGTTAACGCTTGCTTTCACGGGTAGGTACTTTTGCTTGTGTTAACATTGACTGACTTTGATGAGAAATGTTTCATATTAAAGTCCCATGAAGAAATCAAGTAGTATGCCCCGCTTATTGACCTGGCTCCATTATACAAGTTCAAGATGTTACCGTTCAATTCGCAATGCGCTTTTGGCAATAACCCAAGACTGTTATTGTCTTTCGACAGGCATCTTCTCTTGCAACAGAATCGAAGTCTGTTGAATCGGCTCACAATGATATTGAGGTAAACACGGGAAAGGGGAGGTTGCTTAACCCTCGCCCGTATAGGGGGGGGGGGGGGGGGTCGAACGGACCCCCCCCCCCTCTGTTTTTCGCGAATAACTCGCGTAAAAATCGGCCGATCGCGACGAAACTTTCAGTACCCTCGCGTTAATCAATTTTACACCTACCCTGAAAATTTCATGACCCTGACCCTAATGACCTTTGACCTGTGACCTACTTTTCGAGACCATGTTTGGCCGGAATCGCGATTCGGCGTATGTCGGCTCGCATTAGCCGCGCGTTAGCAGTCTTTTCGTGGTTTCAAGCGTTCAAACATGGGATATGATGTTGCTCCCATGCATTAGGGTGGGTGTCGAGGTCACCGGAAGGTCAGGTCAGGTCATTGACCTTTGATGACCTCGGTTCACTTTTTCGAGTTTTACATGTTTCTAGGCTAGTTGTTGGAGCTGAATTCGAATTTAGCAATCATTTGAACATTTACGAAGCAGTTTTGGTGCCTTAGATGTGTTTAGCTCGACGATACGGATCGACTGATATGCAACATGACCCTTTCCGGTCAGGTCATGACCTTGACCTGAGGTCAAATTTTCAAGTTGATCTTTCAAGGCCAAGTTATAGTTCATTCGATGCGTCTTGACGAGAGGAACACGATGCCGGTAAAAGTAAGCTCGTACAAGGCTTGGGTCAAAAGTTATTGCAGAAAAACTGATTCCGAAAAAAATCGGCTATTTTTGCAGTTTTTGCCCCCTGCAGGCAAAACCGTTGACGTTAGGTCAAATCTGAGAAAATTACTCAGAAAGGGCGTTAATAGGGCTATCGAATGCGCTTTTCCGCGGCGCTGTAGCTCTATTGGTTCCCGAGTTATGCGTTGGCTTCTTGAAAAATGTCGACATTCGACCTGGAAATCGGCGAAATTTTGCCTTCAATGACCTCTGGTGACCTGACCTTTGACCTGACCAAGAAATTGACCGAAGTGATTTCCTCATTATTTTTTACGCTCTTTCGAACGCCGCCTTCCGCGTATCGCTACGTGGCCCAGGAGCCGAGTTAGAAAGGGGGGTGTTCAAACACCCCCCCCCCCCCAGCAGGGCGTGGAAATCCAGGACCCCCAGCCGGGCGCGGGTTAACGCTGGGTGGCCGGCGGCTGCAGCTGGGTGTGGGCTCGGTTAACGCTGGGTGGCCGGCGGCTGCAGCTGGGTGTGGGCTCGGTTAACGCTGGGTGGCCGGCGGCGGCAGCTGGGTGTGGGCTCGGTTAACGCTGGGTGGCCGGCGGCGCGGCGCGCCCCCAGGACCTGCTGCAGCGGCTGCGCTCGCTCGAGTCGCGCCTCCACCTGGTCGAGGACGAGTCGCAGAGCAAGGACCGCCAGATCCAGGACCTGCTGTCGCGGCTGGAGGACCTGGTCAGCTCGGCCGGAGCCGACGACCAGGGCGACCTGACCCAACGGCTGCAGGTCAGACCGCGGTGACGCACAAAGGAGGGCAGCTCCGACCACATCTCGTCGGTGGGAGCCGTCAGCCGGGGGTGCGCGGGCGGATTTACTGCCGCTTGCTGCGAATTTCGCGTGTATAGCGAATTATGGAATGAGCTGCTTTTATGAATGCTTGTCATCACGGTGTAGCGATAAAGCTGACGGATATTGTTTTACACAGACGGCGTCTGAAACTGTCTCAAAACTCGAGCAGACGGAAAGCCACCTGGGTAAAGAGTTGGAGAACGCGAAGAAGGAGATTGACAGCTACATTACACAGCTGGAGGTACGTGTTCGCGTCCCTCCTGAACGCATGTGCTCTATAGTCATCCTCCTAATAACTAACCCCGCGTTCGGAGTCTCTCGGACGATGAAGATTCTACGTCGTCCGGCCAATCACGTTCCATAACCGCAGCCAAGCCCTCGCTGACCTTGAACGGGATTGGCCTTGCGACGTACAGGGTGGAAAGTAATTACGCGAACATGTATTTTCTTACAATTTCGCCCGTCAGTGGAGATTTTGTATGAGCGCGGGCTGTTATGGACCATGACTGGTCGTGTTTGTTGTCGCCTCATCTAACAAAAGTGACCTTACTTTGAAAAATGACTTGGAAGGTCTACAACACCTCTCGGCTTCAAGTGGTGCTGACGCCATACGCTGCTCAAGACCAAAATGGGCAAAGAGCTCAATTTGAAGTTGCCAGGGAAAGCGTTTGTGATTATTTTGGCTGGATTGGTGCGGAAGGGACTCGGAACGGTCTCGGCACCAGCATTACTCAATTACACCTTTGGTTGAAGCATAATAAAACTTAGGAGGACTTAAAAATCAAAGCCGTTGGCGGCAGTAAAACCTCGGCGAATTCAGGCGCCGAATGGGTGGTCACCATTTCCGCGACCAAACGACAACAGTCGACCCGAAAACAGGCGAAATGGCTTACTTTGGCCGGGTACCCGATCTAAGATATCACGATTCATACATAAATCCGTGAAAATTCGAAAATCAAGCCGTACAAACAATCGAGATGGCCAAAATTCATGAATTAACAGCAGGATTGTCATTTTAAGCTTTCTAAAGACCGCCAAACCTGAACAGAGGAGGACAGGCAGCTGGCTTTGTGGTTGGGTGAGACATCTTCGAAGCTATTTCATCCGTCAAACCTGCAGAACAACGCATTGGGGGCTGCTGATGCGTCCGACGTCCCGCCCGTCCCAACATTCAAACATCCGGCAAAGGAACACACATCAGCGTGTTATGAGCGCCCGGATGGTGTCAGAATTGCATGTAGTGACCAACAAGGCCACCAAAAATAAAGTATACAACTAGTGGAACATCCTTCCAGACGAGTCTCTTTATCTAATCCATCAATGCACCAAAAGGGGCAAAATGATTGAGCGCACTTTTGTGCCCGACGCAAAGAAACTCTTCTTCATGATTGATAAAGTCCTTCCTCTCACGGCCAAAAAGACGCAAGACTGGTGCTTTGAGAACCCGTTCTTCTTCTGGGCATATATGTAATGGTCAATCTGGGAATAGCCCAGACCTCAATTTGATCAAAAATATCCAGGCGACTCTTCAGGAGAGCGTCTAAGAGCTGCTAGTAGCCACCAACATCGATTGCCTCACCAGACAGCTCCAGGAGGCGTGGACTAAGCTTTGGCCAACAGTGCTTGACATGCTCATTTCAATTATGCCTGAACGCCTTTGTCAGTGTATCGCACATAAAAAGGAATATATGAAAAGATGAAATTTTCATGTCACCGCCGCTTTTTCCATTGCTATAAGACGAAAAAGTATGTTCGCGTAATTACTTTCCACCCTGTAGGATCTTTGTCGTCCGAGAGACTCCGAACGCGGGGTAAATCGATGTGCACTCCATCGCAATCGTTGTGACACTCCAAGTGCTGACCAGTGGATGTTTGTCGTGCCACTCTGGGGCTGTCGGCTCAAGGCGGCCGTGCTGTGCGGGCCGTGCGGTCTCTGGCTGACGGGTCGGCGCGGCGTGCCGCAGTCGTTCCAGAGCCGGTCGGCCGAGATGGAGCAGCGGCTGGTCGAGTCGCAGCGGATGCAGGCGGCTGGCGACCAGCAGTTGCAGCAGCTGGCGCAGCAGTGCGGCCAGCTGACGGCCGAGCGGGACCAGCTGGCCCGACAGCTGGAGGAGAGCCGCGCCGCGGTGGCCGAGAAGGAGGCACGGGTCGAGGAGCTGATGCTCCGCCTGCAGGAGTACAGGTCGGCACCTCACCTCCCACACACTAATGATGCCACTTACAGATAACTGGGAAACCGATACCAACTACCAACCAAATCCATGGAAATAGAATATCGGCATGCATTGGTAAGGGATATGACTCCATCTACTATTTCCAGTGAGCGGGTTGCGCAGCTCGAGAAGGATATGAAGAGTGACGAGCGCCCCGCAGACCAGTCGGACGTCAACGCCGAAAACGCCTACCTGAAAGGACGAGTGGCCGAACTCGAGAGTCTCACACACGACGAGAAACATTGGAAAGAACAGGTAGGTACCTCAGTTCAGCCTATGCCAGCACACCGTTCCCGAATCTGTACACCTGATTGAAAAAGACGCCACTGGTCAAAGAATCGTCTATCCCTTTCATCAATGAGCTGTGGCCAGGCCGACCCATCATCATTTGGCCGGCGCCGTCTGAGTGGCTGAGTGTCCTTTCCCCTGACAGGCGCACGAGGCGGGCGAGCGGGCGCGCGCCATGGAGCGGGCGCTGGACCAGCTGAGCTCCGAGAAGCGGACCGAGCAGGAGCGCCGGCGCGAGGTGGAGGCGCAGCTGGTGCAGATGGTGCGCCGCACCTCGGTGGCGCGGCCCGCCGACGACACGCCGCTCGCCTCCACCGCCGAGGAGAGCAGCGCCGACGAGCTGCTCGACCCGCAGCTGTGCCGACGGCTGCAGCAGCTGCTCACCAAGCTGCACACCGAGGGACTGCAGGTCAGCCGTCCCAGCGGCTCCACCGACCTCGCCTAGCGGTCCGAGCAGCTTGTTTGCACGAGGACGCACGAGTTTGGTGAAGCCATAAGCTTCTTGATTTCCCCAGTGTCCAGTCGTTTAGGAAATCTAACGATTTCATCTAACGACATTCAAAGTCAATGTTAACTCAGTCATTAACGGAATGTATGTAGTTTTTCATCCCCCTATCACTGTTCTCTTGATAGACAGTGCCAGACGAGTTGAGCATGACGAGTGTCCTCTGTCGCCGGTACGGGCCCGATATGATTGTGTGCATGTGCTGCACGCCAGGCGCTGAGTCTGATGGAGCTGCGCTTCGTCAAGGCGTACGCGTCTCCGAGCCAGCTGACGCCACGCTCTCAGGCGTCCGACTCGGCTGTGGAGGTGTCCGACATGGAGACGGCCACGCTGCGCCGGGCCGTGGCGCGCCTCGTCAGCGAGCTCAAACGGAAACAGGACAGCCTCAACGACAAAGGTCTGTCCGTGGGAGAACCGCCGGCTCCTATACGCTCATGGTACTGGAACGTCCAGTTTTGGTGCGGGGAGTGTTGTGAGTAAACACGAGGCGTCACTGCTGGGGTGAACTGTGGTTGCCCGAAGGCTAGCGGCTAGCTCTCTTGCCGCAGTGTTGTTTGTGGTTTGTTCTGTGAATGGTGACGTGCTGATCTCTCCCTTACACGTGTTTTCTTCCCGCCGGAGCAGTGTCCAAGCTGTCCAGTGACCTGAAGGAAGAGCTATCTCAGGTGCGGGAGATGCAGACCTCGCTAGATGGAGAGCATAAGTCGAAGCTGGCGCTGACCGGTCGGCTGAGTGAGCAGCGCGGCGCGCTCTCGGCCATGGAGACGGACCTGGCGCAGGCGCTGTCGGAGCTGCGCAAGGGCGACGAGCGGCTCGACCAGACGCGCTCCAGTCTGGACTCGCAGTTGCACGAGTTCGCCGCCGCCAAGACGGCCACCCAGCAGCTGGTGGACCGGGAGGATAAGATCATGCAGGTCAGTGGCAGTGCCGCTCGGTGCCGAAGGAATGACTCCACTGAGCACCCAGACTGCGGCGAACGCTAACCGTACTGATCCATAGAAATGTGCTAGAAGTAGATGGGTGTGTGTACGCGACATATCTACAGTTCTGTTATGATATGGACGCACCTTCGTTTGCCCTGTGTCCAGGAGCTGATACGTACGACGGACACGGGCTGTCAGGACCTACAGCGGGTCCAGGCGTGTCTGGCCAAACTGGACGGCGCCGGGGAGCGCGTGAGCGAACTGTGCGCCAAGCGCAGCGGCCGCGGCGCCGTCCAGAGACTGGCCGAGCAGCTGGGCGCCGAGCAGCAGCGCTGCCGGGACATGCTGGCCTGTGTCGAGTGCGAGCGGGGCCGGGCGGCCCAGCTCAGCCAGGAGCTGGACCAGGGCCGGGGCCAGGCAGAGTCCGGCGGACGCAGCGCCCAGCAGCTGGAGCAGCGCGTCACCGAACAGGAGCAGCAGGCCGAGAAACTAGAGACACAGGTGGGCCGTGGGTCTGTGGGCACTGGACAGTCGTCTTTACCTGGGTCTGTAGCGGGGCAGAATGCACTCATTTACTATTATCACAGATCCGCGCGTAGCCCACTCTCCGCTGGTTCGGACCCGCAACAGACAGCAGATCTGTTCCCCAGGTTGATGAAGCCTGCGCTGAAGTGCGCACGACTGCCGCCGAGCGCGTCAAGCCGCTTCAGGGGAAGCTGAAGAGGCTGCAGCAGGAGCTGCGGCAGGTTCAGGCGGCTCACAAGACGGCAGCCGAGGACGTACAGAGGCCGGCCGCCGACCATGGCCGGGCGGTGGCCGAGCTCAGCCGAACTGCCGCTCAGCTGCTCACGGCGGTCAGTGACGAACGGCGACCCGAATTTCCACGAACCCAGAGCACAGTCACAAACGGCCTGAATCCCAACAAACCAGCAGCACCGTTACGAATGGCGCCCCCAGTCCCATAGAGCCTGCAACACCAGTTCAAAACGGCACTCAGAACGCCAACGAATGCATTCAGCATACCCATCCTCCTTTGGTGGACTTCCCATCAGCGAGCATCAGGCATTATCCTAAATTTTGCTGCCTAGGATGGTGTTAACAGCACGTGCAGTATGCTCAAATAACAGCCCGAAGCTGGTAGTTGGGCCTGCTCGCCGACAACCAGCCGCTGTTTCTGTCCCGCAGGTGGCCGCCGTGGTCGACATCAACACGGAGGCGGAGCGGACGCGGACGCGGCTGCTGCAGCTGGCTGCAGAGCTCGCCGGCCGAGACGACGAGCCGTCGCCAGCTCCGGCGCCGGCTCCCAGCCCGGTCCCGGCCGACGCTGCCGTGGAGTCGGCCGTCGACGACGCCATCCTGGCGCGCTACAAGGAGCAACTGGAGTCGGAGCGCGCTCAGTGGGGCCGCGAGCGGTCGCTGCTGCAGTCTCACATTGACCAGCTGGACGCCGAGCTGGAGCGACTGCGGCTGGCGGCGCGGCCGGCGCCCGTCTCCACGCAGGGCGAGGGCGACGACGGCCGCGTCCAGGAAGCGTACAGCCGCTACATGCGCGCCGAGAGCTACCGGCGCGCGCTCTGCTGGCAGAAACGCTACCTGATGATCCTGCTCGGCGGCTACCAGGAGACGGAGACGCTGACGCTGGAGAAGATGGTGCAGCTGACGGGCGGCTGCTTCCTGCCAGACTACCGGCGCCTGCTCAAACCCGTGCGCAAGTTCCGCGCCGCCGCCTGGGCCGTGGTGGCCATGCTGCGCATGCAGCGACTGGTCCACCGGTGGACAGCAGGTCAGTCGGATCGCCAGACCGACACTGACAACAGCAGTTTCCTGGATCCTCAGCCCAACGAGTCCACCGTTTTAGATTTACAGTAACTTGTTATTGTATACCTCTTCGTAAGTAATAGCTGTAGCATACCACACATAGATAATTTTGAATCAACTGCTTCCTTATTCAGTATGAGTCAAGCCGGAGTACAGCACTTAACCCTATTAGTGGCAGGGGGGGTTGTTTTCATCCACCCCTCAGGTTTTTCGGGAATATCTCCGAAACCGCTGAAGCTACGATGCTGAAATTTTCTGACTTTTCCTAAAACTAAATTGGGCACATTCCCTGAAAATTTCAAGTTCATAACTTTACCAAGGGCGGCTCCAGAGCACTGGGAATTGGGGGGTCCTATTCGTGAAGCGAGTCATTTGGGCGATGATCACGATGCTGATGTATTATAACTGTATGCACCAGTTTTATCATGTGATAACATATACAAAGTTATTGTGCATCCTCTTTTGACACGTTTTTGCTATAATAGGCGGATCCAGGCGTCCAAAAAGGGGGGTTATGTTTTACCTCCCAACATAGGTGCCCTGACACCGCCTATGCATGACCAATACAATTGTAGTCGTTCTCTCATAAGAAAATTGTAACATAACAAGACCATTACCACCCTTTTTAGAAACAGTACCAACAAAAACCTTATTTGCTATACTTTTTGTGTACCCCCAATCTCAATGATCTGTATCCGCCTATGATTTTTGAAAATGCATATTTTTAGGATCCATGTGAATTCCTGGTTCATTCTTTATCGATCGGCAAAAGTTGCGTTAAGATTGGTTCAGAAACCTGGCCGTGATAAGCAGTCTAAAATGTATCTGCAATTTGCCCGTTTTTACCCCCCTCAACCCCCCTTTTGACATTTTCTTAATTTTTTTTTTTTAGAAATGTAGATCACGTTGAGCGAAGTCGAATGCCGTTTGAATTTTGAAAATCGGCCCGTTAGATCTCGAGATATCAAGGGGGGGTCGTAAACAGCCCCCCCTGCCACTAATAGGGGTAGCCAGGAGCCTGCCACTAATAGGGTTAATTCATTCATCTCAGACAAGCCCGCTGCTCAGACGAAGGTTCTGATCATTTCTCTTGCTAGAAGTCGATTTGGTACCGCACGCAGATACAGCTTCTCACGTTTACTTCGAGTTGACCGTGACTCGGTGTGCATGAGATGTAGTTGATCACCGCAAAATAAATTTAGGAACGACCTCATGGTTAGCAGACACTATCCAAAGAGTCATAAACTGCAATTGACTCCACCGACATACTTCACCTTCAGACCGATAGGTTATCAAAGGAGTTCAAGTACCTACCAGTCTGGGATATACCAGAAACCCATCAGTAATTGGTTGCTTCCCCTACCATAAGTCAGAGTAATTTCAGTAACATTCCGTGGTTTGACTGGCTGTGTCGTTGCAGGACGGCGGGCGACCGGAGCCCGCAGGCCCTGTCGGCGTCAGAGACAGCGTACCAACAGTAGGACGAGATCGCAGGGCAGCCGGTCCACCAGCCGACCTCGGGCCCAGCCGGCCCCGCAGAAACCAGCGGCAGCGCCCAAACCCAAACATAAGGCGGCGCCTGCTCGGCCCAAACCAGTGGCACTTGCTCTCCAGCACAAGCATACACTGCCGCAGCCACCGACGAAGCCCAAAGCACGCAGTCCGTCGCCGAGGCGCGCTGCCCATGGGCCATCGCCGCAGCGAGCAGCACGATCGCACTCACCAAAGGCAGCTGCGCGCAGCCCTTCACCGAAGAGCAAGATCGAGCCCACCTCGTCCAAGGGCGCCATGAAGAAGTCGCCGGCGCCGGCGCGCGGTAGCGAGCCGACCAAGAAGGCCCGCTCGGCAGTAGAGTTCGACGTCAGTGACGGGGAGGGAGAGGAAGAGGCGGAGGAGGAGGAGGAGGTGACGCCCCGCCAGGAGGACGTGCCCGGCAGCAGTCTGGGTGAGCTGCTCGACCGGCTCGACGAGGACATTGACGAGGTGCTGGACATGGGCGAGGCCGAGGACGAGGACGGCGCGGAGACGCCGCGCACCTTCAGCCGCAGCAGCGCCGTGCTGCTGGACGAGGGCCTGTGCGAGCAGCTGTCGCTGACGCCCACGCTGCCGCTCTCCATCACCTCGCTCACCTCCTCGGACGAGTCGGAGCTGACGCGCTTCTTCACCGACTACGGCACCCACCCGCTGCCAGACATGGAGATGGAGTGCGGCACCACCGGCTCCATGCCCAACCTGGCCGCACTCGATGTCAGGTAAATCGGCCACCCGACGCTTCAGTGGAATCAATACTTAGGCGGCCAATTATAGGTGTACCTAAATTATTAACCTTACAATGTTTTACGAACCACATTTTGTCTTAGGATTGGTTGTAAATCAACGATCAATCCTAAGACGAACCGTGGCCCGGAAGGGGCTTGTTTACGGTTCCCTCCGTTTTTGGCGAATACCTACTCGTATAAAGGCGATACCTAGCACGAGGTGTTTTGCGACGCGTCATGATATATCTTGCTCGCACGTATGTATCGTAAAAATTTCACATTTAGGTCATTTAAGGTCATGTCACCAGGCCACGTCAAGTGACCTTACCCCAATAAAAGTGAATGCTAGCCATAACTACGCAGACTCAACGAATTCTTTTAAAATTCACTGCATTTTTTAGCGTTAGAGGATGTTTGAAAGTAATGCCCTTGGTCTTGAAATTTGTGAGAAATCACTTTCAACCTCTCCATTTTAACCCTCGCCCGCACATGCCATTTTCCCATCCTAGAACGCACATGGGGGGGGGGGCTGCCAGCCCCCCTCGCGCCATTTCGTTCCTGTTGGAGATAGAGCTTAGCGGTAAAGAACAAAAAAAAAAATTGGGAAGAGACAAATCCAATGATGCCCAGTTTTACCTTCTCAGGTCAGTCATTGACCTTCCAGGTCAGGTCAAACAAAAAAAAAATGTTGCTGTTTTGGGTCACCGTTGGATATCAAGTGCCCTGCTTATAATATACCGATGACGATGCTGTTTTCTGGTGCCAAGCCAGCTAGAACCTCTTTGTCACACTACCCGACCAGGTTTTTGCTGCTGAGGTCATTTCAGGTCAAGTTAGGTCAAGGTCAATTATATGTGTGTGTATACTGATGTGTGCACCGATTGTTTTTGTGTCCATATTACAGGAAATCATGATCTGAGAAGCTTTTACCAAAAATGCAGTCAAAAAAACTAAAAAAAAGCAAATTCAGCTTGCCCAAAACACAATTATCTTAGATGACCTAGGTTGACCTTGACCCTGACCTTGACACCTGTACATCGTCGAACATGTTTCATGATAGGTGGGAGGTAAGACTGGCAAAAAAAGGCCGAAATCAAGGTGTCAAAAGCTCACAAGGCCCATGGCAAACGCAAGATGTTGAGAATTGGCCATTTGGGTCATGACATAGCCTGAAAAACAAGGTCATATCTCCGAAACCAAAAATCACAGAAACTTGACATTTTCAGTGGACATCAAGAAAGGTTAGAGGAGCAGCTATACGAAAAATCAGTCTTCTAGCTCTAAAAATGTTGAGTGCAGAGCAGAAAGACTACCTGGGGGGTGGTGGCAACCCCCCCCCCCCCCATGTGCGGGCGAGAGTTAAGTCAATGGGACAAAATTAAACTTTGAAATTAAGTTAGATCTTTAAACTTACCTTCAATGTTAAAATATACTTCATTCGACGAATCCTGTAGAGAGAGGCACGATACCGGTAAAATCATTATCGCAAATGTGTCAAAAGCTCTAGCACCGACATTTTTCCACAGAAATCTCAACCTCGTAGGCCTTTACCCTCTACAGGCCAAATCACTGACCTGAGGTCACATCTCAGTACAAAATAGCAAAAGAGCTTGAAATAAAAATGCAGAACAATTTCCCACATGTGCTAAGCCTTCACGAGCTACGAGCCAAGTTGTCCAAAAACATCTAAGTCATTACAATTTGAACTTGATGACAGTGTTCGCCATGGGCCGGGCCAGTCCAATGGGCCATGGGCTGGGCTGGGCTACGGACTAGGCTGGGCCCTCATATATGAAGGATCGATGGGCTGTGGATGGATGGGCTGGGCCAAGAACTGTTGAGCGGAGTCAGGGGTTCGCAACTGAGACAAAAACTATAACCATGTAGATTGTACATATAGCTTATTACTGTGCAAGACTCAAAAATGAGAAAATAAAGTAGGTACGCATGAAATGTGCATTGTGCATGCTGCTCGAAACAGATTGTTTCTTTGCTACCTTTGGATACTTGTGTGGTGTCAGCAATTTTTAATCCAATAATTTTTTACGGGCTGGGCCGGGCCAGGGGCGGCGGATTCGGGTGGGCAGGGGGGGGCAGCTGCCCCCCCTGGCAAACTCGTGGGGGCAAAGGTATCTTTTTGCCCCCCCCCCATAATTTGTGACAAAGCTTAGACAAGAAACCATATACCTGATTATTCTGTTCGATCATCTGAAAATTTAACCAGATGCCCATATACTTTATCATACGTTGCCTTTCTTAAATGGCAAGCGTTCACGTTCAATTGAAGTTTTCCGCTCTTCAACCTAGTTTTGGAGGCATTATAAGCGTCAACGTGACGCAGTGGCAACCCAGGCCTTCAGTGACCGCTTACAGGGGCGACGGATACGGGATGGCAGAGGAGGCATCGGGCTAAGAAACTTTTGGAGGAGGGGCAAACGTATATTCTTGCCCCTCCATGATTTGTGCCCTAAACATGAGCAAAATTTCCATAACCTGATATTGCAGCTATGCGCTCCTACAGTTTGTCCAACGGTGCCTTTTGAATATGTGTAAATGCTAACCATTTCCGCTTTATATAATTTTGTTTTTGTCTTTTCAGATTCGATTTATAGATGTGTGCAAGTGACGCAACTCATACCTTCAGTGGTCGTTTGCCTCTATTTTGTGCCTACATAAATGCCAAATCGCAAGCGAGTGGAGACTGAAGGGCTAGTCATTCGCTTGCGGGTAGTTAGGACTGATGAGCGCTCATAATAAGCCACTCCCCCGATTTTTTCGAGCGCAACAGTTTCCAGCGCATAAAATGGTAAACGCAGAGGTCGTACACATTGACGACATTGACCAATGCACGGTATGGTATGACACCCAAAGGCCAGTCATCAGAGATCTGCTTTGGGCATTCGGAGGCTTGTGTGGGGCCAGTGTAAAAACTGGATGTTCACAGTTCAGTATTCGCTTTATTTCAGTTTTCACTATTAAAAAAGTAAAAATTAATGTTCGAAACTTTTCAGGGTTAGGGCACTGATCATTAGTGGGCCCCCCTCTGTCTAAAGGCTGACTATAGAATAAAGAGCATCAAACACGAACAGTAGCGGCGGAACACCTTCAATTAAGGGAGGGGGGGGGGGCTGCCGACTTTTGGTCCCATTCTTTCCATGCAACGCCCATAGGGCCAACGTTAAAATTCCAAAATCAAAGGGGGGCACGGTGCCCCGGTGCCCTCCCCGTTCCGCCGCCTATGAACACGAAAGCAAAATCTGAGGCATTTTGGAAAAATGAGTATGCCCCGCAGCGTCCGATAACTACCACCTTCCAGTGGGTCAAGCCAACGGGGCCCAAGTCTACAATGGCACTAAACGATAGCACTAACCTTGTCTCACTTTTTGTTGAAGTCTGTTCCGAATAGTTTCGGCCACAGACTGGCTGCACTGAGGTCGTTTGGTATGTGCAACTGTAATTAAAGCCACCTGAGGCACCCTAACACCAGGCTGAAGCTGGGTTGGAAATGCTTCGTCTTTGCAGATATCACTGGCCGCTGATTCTCGAGTGCCTAAATCGGTAGATGTCGTGGCAAAATTTGGTGTGATAATTTGGACCTTACCGCAGTCAGCGCACCCTAAAGCCCTGATAAAGAAACGCCCCACCCAGAGCTTCTGGATCCTCGTTCCAGTCCACCGTTCCTTCACCCTAGCCCGCCGCTCCCTCGCCTCAGCCCTCCGTTCCCAACTTGACGAGCGTTTGGGCCTTAGTTAAGCCTTGCTGTAGGCTAACTGTATCAACCCATCGAGACAGCCCGTCTCGGTGAGCTTAGTTGGCGAACTACTGCCTTGGGGAGGGTTTCTGGCGGATTGCTGTCCCAATAGGTTTAGATGCGACCGACTGTCTCTGAACGTTTCAGCGGTCTCCTCCCGCTGTGAGCTAGTTTCGGTTGATACCTATCTGTCTCAGAAATAATTTTTAAAGGAAGGTTAAACGGAAACCGAACGGAAAATGAACAGAGGAAATGGTAACGAGTTACCTCATTGAAGAATAGCGCTCGCCTACCTGAAGAGGTTTGGAACCGTTCTTCAACATCTAATAGGGGAGACCCGGGAGGTATGGGCCCCCTGGAGGTATGGGCCATCGCAGTTTTGAAGAAGTGTTGCGTATTTTTACACATTTGACCGTGTAAACTGGTAGCAGCCATTCCGTTATACAACCCACGTGATTTTCAAAATCCTCCTCAGTCTTCTTTGGCGATGAGCGGTGATAAAGCGTTTTTGCCCTCTTCGAGTAAAATACTGTACATACAGAAAATTCGTGATAAATTTGAAACAGACTCGTTTTATGATGTCAGACCAATGCTAACATTAAGTTTAAAGCATGCAAATTAAGACTGGATAGACAATTTGAAGCTTTCTTGCAAGAGTATGGGCTGAGATGCTATGCAAATTCTGGCGTCCTAACCGGGAGGTTCGGGCCACCCACCCCCGTTGATCCTAAATCAATAAAAAGATGCTTTCATTGAGTGTCATCTTCAATAAGTTTTATTTTTGTCGCGCAAGGTTAAAAATTTAACTTCAAATTTCATTCGAACAGAAAAATATTATTTATTTTATTTCATGGTGAATGATAGAGTTTACCAAAATACATTGTGCCCAAGCGACCTCAATGAAGTAAGCTGTTGGCTGCTTATGCGGTTCCTGGGCTCTAAGAGAGATCAAGGTAGATACCAGCTACGAGTATTGTTCTCATTGTCGAGAAAAGAATATGAAACATGGCACCGGCCCATACCTCCCGGGCCATGGCCCATACCTCCCGGTGTATTTTGATTGAGTCGAAAAAGCACATCATTTATTGAAAGTTATCTCGAGACAAAATAGTTGATCCCAGATGCCTAATATCAGGCACACTTTGCAGGCGAAAGGCAATTTCACGTGCTAAGAGTGAAAAACCGGGTCTAGCCACTGCCCACTGGAAGAAAATTGCGTTTTCACAAAACCGGCCCATACCTCCCGGGTCTCCCCTATGCGATCGGGTTATGGCACAACTTTTCCCATTGGAGCTTTTTTTCTAACACAGCAATACGAAAAGCGTTACATCGTCCACTGGCGGATCCAGGGAGCGGGCATTTAAAGCAAATATTTTCTCTCCCCCCCCCCTGGCCCCTGCATCGCCCGAAATAGACAAAACGTACCTTATGTTTCCTAATAATAACACTTTTATCAGGATTTGTTTTTGCTTTATACCGTTCAGCAGTAGATCCGTAAGGAATCGAAATCCGAGGAGTTTTTGGATTTTGGACACTTTTTTTGGGGGTATGTCCCCTACAGCGTCGAAAACGCCTTTCTGGATCCGCCTATGACATCATCTCGACTGGGATCTTGCCCCCCCCCCCCACGCCAAAATCGAATCCGCCGCCACTGGGCCGGGCTGGGCCTTGACGCTTTTACCATGAATGGGCTCGGGCTGGGCCGGGCTGTGAACCCAAGGGCCTGGGCTGGGATGGACTGGGATTTTGCGGCCCGTGGCGAACACTACTTGATGACCGCTGGTCACCTGTCCTTCGACCTGACCTAAAAATGATCGAAGCACATTTTCCATGGTATTTGAGGCACTTTTCAATACTAGTAACTACCTACAAATTTACGTACCGAGTCTAAGAGGCACAGTAAGAGGGACATCAAACCCTCAGCCTATGGTTTTGTTACGATCGGACCAACCGGTCTCGCGGCATGGCCGTGACGCGAAATAACTAAAACAGGTTTGCCTGATGATGATAAACAATACCTGGTAATACTGTTCAGCCGTTGTTTTCTGTAACTGCGCACCAACCTTTTGCACACTGCAATATAGCTGTTTGCCTTCTCCAAGGAAAAGTTCCTTCTCCTTGATCCCGTTACCTGACCGATCGGCCACCGATGTTCGTTTCAGGAGCGTCACGACAGTGAGCGACATTGAGTCTGACGAGCTGGAGCTGTACCTGGCGCAGTTCGACTCGCTGCTGTTGCGGCACGGCTGCTCGCCGAGACTCTCCGACTCGTGCACCTCCCAGTCGTCCCGACGGCGGCGCTGAGCGACGCTCCTCCGACACGACAGCCGACCAGACGACGACGGCGAGCGATGCGTGGTTGTCTCGTGTTTGTTCGGACGTCCATCGAAATGTTTGTGATTTATTGCGATGGTGCTTACGGAGCGCCGCGAGTCCTACGTTCCTTTCTCCGGTGTAACGTCCAATGCAGATTATCCAAAATTGTAGGTGGCTTGAAAGTAGACGCGCAAAACGAACACAAGCGTACGTCTATTTATAAATGTCCTTTGTCTGAGACAATATCGCTCGCAATACGAAGCAGCAAGTTAGATGAAAACATGACCTTGTGATCAAAATATATTTTAAGTGAAGAAGCAACACGGGTTTTGGCAACGTTCTGCGAAAATTGCTTCAATGCATTTGTTGCATCAGCTCTAAGTCTCATCCTTTGGCAAATGAAAGTAAAATGTCCTAACTCTAAAGAACGTTTCCACTCAGCCTAACGTCTCGTTCTTATTTCTAGGTAGCCGAAAATAGCTCCAAAGTTACAGTGGCCGTCTTACTCCACTTTCCCCTGGCTTCTTTTGAAGCCGAAAATATCGACAAAAAAGAAACAGAGTTTCGGAGTCGTGGCAGCATTACTCCTATTCCGATTCCGACTGCGACTCCGGCCTCAGGACCGTCCCTGACTTCGACTTCGACTTACTCCAAAACTATGAAAAACGTTTAACTGGTACGACATATATTATAACTCAACAAACCGCTGTCAAATTAACTCATAATAAAATCAGTTTCAAATCACCAACAAAACCCGGAGCCGGACGTACGGCTCTCGCGAGAGCGGTAGGTTTTGCACTTTTACATTTCCGGTTATATCTCGGAAACTAATCGTTCTACGATGAAGCCATTTTACACTATCATGGCCGGCTTGTGAACCAACAAGTCGATCGCATCTTCAACACTTAACCCTCGCCCGCACATGGGGGGGGGGGGTTGCCACCCCCCCCCCCCCCAGGTAGTCTTTCTGCTCTGCACTCAACATTTTTAGAGCTAGAAGGCTGATTTTTCGTATAGCTGCTCCTCTATCCTTTCTTGATGTCCACTGGAAATTTCAAGTTTCTGTGGTTTTTAGTTTCGGAGATATGACCTCGTTTTTCAGGTCATGTCATGACCCAAATGGCCAATTCTCAACATCTTGCGTTGGCTATGGGCCTTGGGAGCTTTTGACACCTTGATTTCGGCCTTTTTTGCCAGTCTCACCTCCCACCTATCATGGAACACGTTCGACGATGTACAGATGTCAAGGTCAAGGTCAACGTCAACCTAGGTCATCTAAGATAATTGCGTTTTAGGCAAGCGGAATTTACTTTTTGTGAAGTTTTTTGACTGCATTTTTGGTAAAAGCTTCTCAGATCATGATTTCATGTAATATGGACACATAAACAATCGGTGCACACATCAGTATACACACAGACACACACAGACATACAAACACATATAATACTTTGTGGTTTTGTGAATATTTCTAAAACGAATTTTTGGAGGGGGGACACGATCGGTTCTATGCGACAAGTGACCACACATGCCCAGCCACGGGTCCGCTTACTCCCTCCCCACATCACCCCCTCCCCACACCACACTCCAGCCCGCCTCATACACCGAGCCGAGCCAAATCGGCAGGTCTCAACCCTTACCCTCTGGCCTCTACCAGGCGATCCGAGTCGGTGTCATACAGCGTGGGTAGGCTGTGCCGTTTCACTCTCGGGTCATGCGGCACAGCCTACCGGTACCAGGCGGCTGCTGCCAATGCTGAGCCATAGGAACCCGGTGGATACCTAAAGAGTATAGTGGACCATCAGCCTGTACCCGACTGTACCTTCTACCGTTATCTCTGCTTGTACCAATCATACATTATACCTATATGTACAGTGAATAAGGTTGGTGAAACCGGAACTTTGTGTGTCTATGAATATATTTGATTTCTACTAAATGGCTAAATGGGTTAATCAAATAAAGAATTCAAAGCGTTTGCCCCTTCATATAAATGTTATGCATGGAGCACAGACATTATCGATTATTCTGCTACAAAATAAAACTTCAATTTTCTTACATAAATGAACATTTATGCTTCACACGTCTACGCATTCATAGAATAAATGTGCATACGCATACCCAGTACATGTTCATCACAAATTAGGTACTGTCGTCTAACTGGGCTGCAGTGTTGATGACGCCGCCTTTGGTCTGAGCAGCAGAGCGGTCCGCGATCAGTATTCCCGTTGTCTCCACGTCTGCCACGGTCTCGGGCATCGGTCTGCCGGCCGTCTCGGGCAGCAGCAGCGCCGCCAGGCTGGCCACCAGCGCCACGGCACCGAACACGGCCGACGGCGCCAGCTCGTGCACATCGCTCACCAGGTCCACCACGAACGGAGACACGGCGCCGCCCACCCGGACCGCCATCTGACTGACGCCCAGCGCCAGGCCACGCTGCTGAGTGGGCATGTACTCAGACAGGTACGAACTCCGCATCGTAAACGCACATGATACACCAAACCTGCCAAGCAGGCCCAGCACAAGCCACAGGGTGGCGTCCTTCTTGACAAACACCACAAACATGGTCACCGTCGTTAGGGAGAGGAAAAACGTGTAGCAGCGACGGCGACCAAAGAAGTTGAGCATGGGAAAAATGAAGTTGGACGGTAGCTCCACAACACCCGAGAGCACTGCAGCAAGATGAGGACTTGAGCTCAGCTGAGCCATGTCGAATGAAATGCCAAAGTACGCACTTGATATAGCAAAACCAATGTAGGCACTGGCTAGGGTGTAAGTGCGCATGCGTGGCGTTCTCACCAGGTCCAGAGCGCGCTCCAGTGCGGACCTTTCGCCGTCGCCCTTCAGTGCCGCTTCACGAGCCAGCAGTCCCCGCCGCGCGTCCTCCATCATCTTGAGCACCTGGTCGTCGGGCGGCATCTTTCGGCGGTTCCAGCGCGCACCCTGACGCAGCACCTCGCACGCCTCTTCAAGGCGGCCCTGGACCAGCAGCCAACGCGGCGACTCGGGCATCAGCCAGAAGTTGGGCAGGAACAGCACACACGGAACGGCAAACGCCAGCTGCAGCAACCAGCGCGTGCGGATGCCGTACGATGCCGCCGCCACCAGCATAATTCCACATGAGAATGGAGCATACGTGACGGTGGTTAGCGTCGCCCGATGCTTGCAGCCGCCCAGCTCTGTCACTAGCACGTACTGGCTGGCGATCATGCTGGCCATGGCAAACCCCGTCAGACATCGGACCACGGCAAAACTGATGTAGTCGCTCACCAGTGCTGCAGAGAAGGAACAGGCGATTACGAGAAGCATCGAGGGCAGGAAGACGGTCCGGCGACCGAACCGGTCCGTAAGTTGTCCACCGATCACCGAGCCTGCCATACCTCCGATCATCATCCACGACTGCAGCATGGAGAGCAGCGGCTTCCTCGCGCACACCAGATTCCACTCGGTCACCACTGTCGACTCGTACACGGACTTGTCGAACGCCCAGCGCGTGCACGAGGAGCTGTTATCGCCGAGAGGGTGACACCGTGGCGCTTCCTCTGGAAGATCTGCAAAAGTGGTGTTGACGTCGAACCCGTCGGCACATTTATACTTCGGCGTTGCGCCTACAAAGATCATCGACAGTGAGAATGAGGGGAAGATGAGCCACATGACGGACATGTAGCTGACCAGGAGCACCTGCCAGCGTCCGGTGCCGCAGCACCGCTCCAAGACATCCTCGAACAGAACTGAGTTGTCACTCCGCTGCAGCCCATTCTCGTCGGACTGCTGCTCGGCGCTCACGGCGTGCGCTGACATTGTGTCTGGTCTTCTCCGGCAGTTCCGCTCGCACGGCCCTCTCGTTCGTCGGTATAGGTGCACACCAGTCCGCTCTACGCACCCTGCCGCCGCGGCCGCTGTGCGCCCACTGCCGCCGCCGGCAGAGCGGCCACTCGGCCCCGCGTCAGCTGCAACGGCAAATGTTGCCAGACTGAGCGGCCGCGTCGTCCACCTAACACGGCATCGCCAAAACTGGTATCGCCGCAATGAATCAGCACTGTTTGGCGTTGCGGAGCTAGGATTTAAGGTAGACAGAGGTAAAGCTCTAAGGCAGCGTAATCATGATTTGCACTTCTGGTGTAAACATTCTTCACTAGAAAGCTTTCTCGTTCCTGGTAAGTTTGCGGTATGACACTCGCCTCACCAACAACTATTTACCGTTGCTAGCGGACTAAGCCCGAGGTGAATAGGGGGGGGGGGGGGCAGGCACTGATACTTATTTCTTTGCTTGAAATAGCATACAACAATAATATGCGGGAACACCAAGCAAATGCACAGCTGTAGAGTGTGGGTGTAAACGAAAAGCCCAGTTTTCAAGGATTTTATGACCACGAATGTTCGTTTTTGTACGCTCCCGTTCAGCGTGACTTTTTCCAATGCTGATGGAAAATGAGACTTTCTTTTCTTCAAACCAGAAAGTTACATCAAAGTAGGTAGCTACATAAAAAAGTGTGTTCTGGGTAGTAGTCACATTATACCTACCTATCTTTAACCCGCACCGGGCCAGAGGTGTTTTTGAACACCCCCCCCCCCCCTGTGGTTTTTCGGAGATATCTCGAAAATTGGCACACCTGTTCAGCATAGGCGGCGGAACGGGGAGGGCTCCGGGGCACCGTGCCCCCCTTTGATTTTGGCATTTTAACATTAGCCCTATGGGCGTTCCATGGAAAGAATGGGACCAAAAGTCGGCAGTGCCCCCCCCCCCCCCCTTAATTGAGGGTGTTCCGCCGCTACTGCTGTTCAGGCATCTTTTCTACACATGTTGTGAAAATTTCAGACCCAGGGCTCTCAAGGTCAGGTCACCAGGCCACGTCAAGTGACCTCACCTCAGAAAAAGTTGCAATCCTCGTCATAGCTACACCGACTGAACGATCGCCTTGAAACTTTCAGCGATTAATAAGAATAACAGTATGTACAAAATTAGATCTCGGAAGTTTGATATCAGTGACCTAAGGTCATGTCAATTTTGCGACTTCTCCAATATAAGTCAATGAATGGGAGAAAATTGAAATGCGCCTATTCTGGATGAATGGTGCTCAAAACCCTCTCAAACATCAGTTCATAGGTAAACATGACACACTGAATCGGAAAAATGCACCTGTGACCCCTCTATGTGCCCCTGCGGTCATCTCAGGTCATTAACGGTCACCAGCAGTTTTTTTTTTTTTTGCTATAACTTTTGATAAGGACGTGCTAGAGCGATGAAAACATGTCAGATGTATTCAGCTCGACATACGGATCGACTGATATGCAACATGGCCCTTTTCGGTCAGGTCATAACATTGACCTGAGTTCAAATTTTCAAAATGACCTTTCAAGGTAAAAAATAGCTCTTTCGACGAGTCTCGACAAGAGGAACACGATGCTGCCAACAGTAATGTCGTGGCACTGTTGTGTCAAAAGTTATTGCCGAAAAACAGTTTTCCTGAAAACTGCTATTTTACAGTTTTTGCCCTCTAGAGACTAAACCGTTGACCTGAGGTCAAATCTGAGAACAATAGTCAGAACTCAGAAAGGTCTGTAAAAGGGCTATCGAATGCACTTTTCCGCGGCGCTGTAGCTCATATTTGGTTCCGGAGTTAGCCGTTGGCGGTTTCCAAAATTGTTGAAATGGACTACATTTGACTTTTGATGACCTCTGGCGACCTGACCTTTGACCTGACCAAAAAAATGACCGAAGTGTTACCGTCATTAATTTCGACGCTCTTTCGAATGCCGCTTACCGCGTGTCGCTACGTGGCCCAGGAGCCGAGTTAAACGGGGGGAAGGAGGTGTTCAGATACCCCTCCCCCGGCCCGGCGCGGAAGTCGCGGAGCACCGGCCCGGCGCGGGTTAACAACTGCCTTGATTAGTGTGTAAATAAACGTATGACAAACAATTACCTATCTCAAAGTGTATGTGGGTTCTGGTCGTGGGCAGCGAAAAAAGCAATTCCAAGCGCATTCTTCAAACATGTCACATGCAGTGGCGGATCCAGGGGGGGGGGCAAAATGGGCATTTGCCCCCCCCCCAAACGGCATAATTTTAACATTACGCCTATGGACGATGCATGGAAAGAATCGATAAATTGTTATGGTTTGCCCCCCCCCCCCCCCAAACCTCTGAGCTGGATCCGCCTCTGGTCACATGAAGACGAAACACGAAAATTGGAATGATTATTCTAGGTCCTCTGTGACTATATATTACTGAACGGTTCTGGGAATATATACCAGTAAAACGCCTTTTGGGCGAAGAACGAGCGAGCGAGATAGTGAGTCCTGCACGTGCCGAAGGGCGAGAGGGTACTTCCAACGGGCTTGTGCAAAGCACCCTTCTAACCGGTCGCTAGCGGTGTGCCAAATTTGAACACAATCGGCCCAGCCGTTCCTGAGATCTGGAAGCGGCATTCTGCACGTGCGCACGTGCAAACGGGGTCCAAAATGACTTTTACACGGCACCCTACTAACCGGTCCCCAAACGTGTACCAAATTTGAGCGCAATCGGCCCAGCCGTTCTCGAGATCTGAAAACGTCCCCTCCACGTGCGCACGTACAGTAGCACCCTAACCGCAACACATGGGAATGCATTGCCTGGTGGGTGCATACCTATATGCCAAGTTTCAGCGAAATCGCCCCAGTAATTACCGAGTTACTGAAATAGAAACAAATTTGGCACCTCTTCTTTTTGTATTTTGCACGTGCAGTGGGGGTCACTCACATAGATCAAGAGTATCCGACCTTTGGTAGAAGGGATGCAGCTACCCTATGAAAATTACCGCAAGACAATCGCTCAAGCCGCTGCTGAGATATGGGCCTCTCAAAATCACTACTTTTGCAAAACTGCTTGAACACCCTTGACTTTTCGCGAGGCACGTGCCACGACGGCCACTAAGATGTATCAAAAGTAATCAATTACGGGGTAGAAGGGATGGGGCTACCCAGCAAAAAAAAGACCGCAGGCCAATCGGTCCAGAGGTTGCTGAGATATAAGCCTCTCAAAAGCGTTACAGGCCGGGCCGGGCCGGGCCGGGCCGCTCATACTGAGATTTTTCCGTTATATTGAAAAGACTTCGCTTCGCTCGCTGCGCTCGCTCGCTCGCTCGTAATCACTTGCTCTGGAAGAAAAATGGAAACCTCGGTCTTCAAAAAATTTCCGGCACTCGGCTACGCCTTGTGCCTACAATCTTTTTTTAAAGACCTCGGTTTCCATTTTTTTTTTCTTTCCCAGAGCCGTTCAGTACTCGAGGGCAGCGCTTTTCGAGGAGCGCTGCGGCCCGGAGGTTGGGACTTTAAATTGTGAAAAAACGCCCGCCCGCCGCAAAACGCAAACACCGCAAAACGCGCAAAACGCACGCCCGAAACGCCAACGCAAACGTCGCAAAAAAAGAAACAAACAAATTAATGGCCGCCCGGAGCAAACCGGCAAAAAAACGCAAAACGCCGAAAAAATAAAACCGCCCGCATCGTACGCACGCTAACCGCCATCCGAAAAGCATAAAAAGCGCCCAACCGCCGCCAACCGCAAAAAAATTGTACACAGCAAACGACGCAAAAAAAGAAAACCGCCCGCATCGCTCACCCGCGCGCCGCCAAACATTAACACCGCAAAACGCATAAAACGCCCGCCCGCCGCAAAACGCCCGCCGCAAAACGCCAACACCGCAAAACGCACGCCCGAAACGCCAGCGCAAACGTCGCAAAAAAAAAACAAATAAACGCCCGCCCGCCGCAAACCGCAAAAACCGCAAAAACGCCGCAAAAAAAAATAAACCGCCCGCATCGCACGCACGCTAACCACCAACCGAAAACGCCTAATTTAGGGTACTACTGCACGTGCGCACGTGCAGGGGGCGCTTCCAGATCTCGAAAACGGCTGGGCCGATTGCGCTCAAATTTGGTACACGGCTGGGGACCGGTTAGTAGGGTGCCGTGCAAAAGTCAGTTTGGACCCCGTTTGCACGTGCGCACGTGCAGAATGCCGCTTCCAGATCTCAGGAACGGCTGGGCCGGTTGCGTTCAAATTTGGCACACCGCTAGCGTCTAGCGACCGGTTAGAAGGGTGCTTTGCACAAGCTCCATTGGAAGTACCCTCTCGCCCTTCCGCACGTGCAGGGCTCACTATCTCGCTCGCTCGTTCTTCGCCCAACAGGCGTTTTACTGGTTGTTTATACAGTGCAGGAAGGATCACGTGCAATGTTGCCTGCACGGCTAGGATAATGCTGAAGGGATATCTCTGCGTATAGGAAAAATATTTGGTACTACGTACTACGATGAAATATTTTCTAAGATATGACGAGGAATTGACATCGCACTGAAGCGGAAGTAACATTACTACGCGGAAGTAACATTACCTGATGGTAATGTTACTTCCGCGTAGCATTTGCTTTCCTGAGACGAGGGAGAAACGCCATGGGCATCTACACAATAAGATTCAAGCCAAGGCCACGGGAGGGACTACTAGTGAACTACCCCATTTCCAACACATACAAGTGCTTAACAGCTATCCAAAAGGACCCTAAGCTTAACCGGGCGTCATGACAGTCTGAGATGCCCTAACGCTATAATAAAAAGGCCCACACCAAGTTTCAGGAATATGCGATGCTACGGTTGCCTCTGCCCTTCGCGTAACCAAAATAGATTAGCTGGTTACAAAGATTGGGGTTAAAACTACTTAAAATGATTCTATTTCTTCGACAAGTGAGCCCCGACATGCAGGTAAGGTACACAGGACTGAGCGGACCACCCAAAACCATGGAAGTTTTGGACTACGAGGACACTGCTTCTATCACGTCTCTGAGTAATAATAGCCCACCAGTGAGGCTACATATGTTCACAGTCAAGTCACGCAGCCGCCGTGCACGAGGCCATTTACCGGCCACCCGTCGCCCGCCACCGTGCACCGTGCAGAAAGGAATGCAGCTCACGTGCGGCGCGACCCGTTGACCTTGACGTCACCCGCCCGCTCCGACGCCGTTGATCAGCGTAGTACCGTCTCACTCAGTCCGACACAGCTGGCGGCACGTGGACGACAACAGAGCAGACAGTGGTAGTGATTCACACCAGAGACTGAGCAGCGCCATCACAATATGTCGCCGCGCGCCGTGAGCGCCGAGCAGCAGTCCGACGAGAATGGGCTGCAGCGGAGTGACGACTCCGTTCTGTTCGAGGATGTCTTGGAGCGGTGCTGCGGCACCGGACGCTGGCAGGTGCTTCTGGTCAGCTACATGTCCGTCATGTGGCTCATCTTCCCGTCGTTTACATTGTCGATGATCTTTGTAGGCGCAACGCCGAAGCATAAATGTGTCGACGGGTTCGACGTCAACGCCACGTTTGCAGATCTTCCAGAGGAAGCGCCACGGTGTCACCCTCTCGGCGATAACAGCTCCTCATGCACGCGCTGGGCGTTTGACAAGTCCGTGTACGAGTCGACAGTGGTGACCGAGTGGAATCTGGTGTGCGCGAGGAAGCCGCTGCTCTCCATGCTGCAGTCGTGGATGATGATCGGCGCCATTGTTGGGTCCGTGGTCGGCGGGCAACTGTCGGACCGGTTTGGTCGCCGGCCGGTCTTCCTGCCATCGATGCTTTTCGTAATCGCCTGTTCCTTCTCTGCAGCACTGGTGAGCGACTACATCAGTTTTGCCGTGGTCCGATGTCTGACGGGGTTTGCCATGGCTAGCATGATCGCCAGCCAGTACGTGCTGGTGACAGAGCTGGGCGGCTGCAAGCATCGTGCTGCCCTGACAACCGTCACGTACTTACCGTATGCCTTTGGAATCATGCTAGTGGCGGCCGCATCGTACGGCATCCGCACGCGCTGGCTGCTGCAGCTGGCGTTTGCCGTTCCGTGTGTGCTGTTCCTGCCCAACTTCTGGCTGATGCCCGAGTCACCGCGTTGGCTGCTGGTCCAGCGCCGCCTTGAAGAGGCGTGCGAGGTGCTGCGTCAGGGTGCGCACTGGAACCGCCGAAAGATGCCGCCCGACGACCAGGTGCTCAAGATGATGGAGGACGCGCGGCGGGGACTGCTGGCTCGTGAAGCGGCACTGAAGGGCGACGGCGAAAGGCCCGCACTGGAGCGCGCCCTTGACCTGGTGAGAACGCCACGCATGCGCACTTACACCCTAGCCAGTGCCTATATCAGCTTTGCAATATCGGGATCGTATTACGGCATCTCGTTCGACATGACGCAGCTTAGCAGTAGTCCGCACTTGGCCGGCGCCCTCTCTGGGCTGGTTGAGGTCCCCGCATACCTGATTTACCCGATGCTCAACCATTTCGGTCGCTGTCGCTGTTACGTGTTTTTCCTATTCTCGACGACAGTGGCCATGTTTCTCCTGTTTGTCAAGAACGATGCCACACTATGGCTTGTGCTAGGTCTGGTTGGCAAACTAAGCATCTCATCGGCATTTAGTATGCGAAATTCGTACCTGTCTGAGTACATGCCCACTCAGCAGCGTGGCCTGGCGCTGGGCGTCAGTCAGATGGCGGTCCGGGTGGGCGGCGCCGTGTCTCCGTTCGTGGTGGACCTGGTGAGCGATGTGCACGAGCTGGCGCCGTCGGCCGTGTTCGGCGCCGTGGTGCTGGTGGCCAGCCTGGCGGCGCTGCTGCTGCCCGAGACGGCCGGACGGCCGCTGCCGGAGACCGTGGCGGACGTGGAGACAACCGGACGACCTATCGCTACGGCGGCAGCAGGAGGGCCGGGTCGCGGCCCGGCACCTGCCGCGGGCAGCGAGAAACCGCCTCCCGGCCGGCCGAAGCACAACGACACAGAGACCGGCGCCCAGGCTGCTGAGGCAATCGCTGCAACGCAGCGGCTCCAAGGATCCACCAACAGTGCCCTGAGTCTGAACGACGAATAATGGCATTATCTACAGAACGACTTCATACTGCATGCAGTGTAATGGAGGCCTGTCATAAGGGTAGCCAAATTTGGAAAATTCGAGTTCAAACAGCGCAGTCTATAGAGAGAGGTGATTTAGAGTGGCAATCAGTTGGTGTTTACTGTTAATAGTTTGTAAAACGATGACGTGGCAATGTCGAATATCGATGCCGTTGCAACACACGTCATGGGTAGTCGTGTCGCCCTACCTCTTGTCATCGTCTTTATGGGGACCGTGGAAGAGGATTTCGACAGCAGTCTTACAGGAACCCGAGTTCTACACGAGGTATACTGACGACATACTCGGAGTGTGGATCCATAGTCCTGCTAGTCTTCGATAATATTTCCGCCACGTCCATAGCGCACACCCATCGTTCAAATTCACCATCGAATCGACAGAGCAGACATCATCGCCACGTCCATAGCGCACACCCATCGATCAAATTCACCATCGAATCGACAGAGCAGACATCATAAATGCCCTTCTTGGATACCAGCATCACAGTCGAGTCCACGGGCAAGCACACCACTGCGCTATACATCAAGCCCACGTCGGCTGGAACCATCCTCCACGCCGACTCAGCACACTTGTGGAAGACCAAGCGAGCTGTGATGGACTCCCAAATATGACGTGCCATCTCCACTCTCCAGTGACAACAGCATCGGCAGACGTATCGAACAACATAAAAAAAGACTTGTGCTTGAACAACGAATACAGCATGCCAGGCGAACCATTAGCAGAGTCATCCATTGCTGCCAGACCTCAAGACCGAGAAGACGAGGAACGCCGGTAACACGGCTGGTTCTACCATTCATCGATGACCAGCTGGCCCCAACCGTACAAACCATCGAACACAAGAGTGGACAACAGAACCTTGGAGTGACCTGGATCAAAAGACCAACAAAAACCAGCTGGTACGCTCGGGCCGGAAACCACCTCCGTGTCCTGGTGGCTCACGCTGCCACTCGCGGGCTACAGGATTACTAGGGCAGGTGCCACAGTCTCGGAGTGGTATACCAACTTACCTGTATGTGAACGTTATGAAACCGGAGCCACATCGGCGATACTGTAAGTGACGTGCGACTGCGCTACAACGGACAGGACTGGACGCAAAGCAAACATCGCACGGGCTCTCTGCGGGGCGACCGCATCAAACCGTGACCAAAACCCAACATATCGCGGAAAAAAAAAATTTCAGACATGAAACATCAGCAGAGACAGAAAAATAGCCGAGTCGTTATGGATAAGAACAAACCTTCCAGCACTCAACACCAACATCGCATCCTGGGCAGTTGGCTGTGATTAGTTAGTGTGAATTGTTAGTTTAATGCGTGATATGTTGATGGAATAGTTCCATGACCGATTACTTTTATGGCAATTGAGATGTTGATTGATGCGTTATTAAATGCCGATGGTTGAATGGATCATTGAATGGATGATTGCATGGTCGATTAAATTGATGAGATAATGATTGATTGAATGGTTGATTGAATTGATGACTGAATGGAAGGGGCTTAAACAGGTGATTGAGCAACTGTAGGTATGAATGGCTAAGTGGTTGGCTAGACGAGACACAAGATAGTTATTCTGATTGTTATCTAGATATAGTCCGTAAATGCTTCGTTGGATAATTATATTGTTTGTAATTAGATAGCTTGATAGCAATTTGGTGGTTTATGAGTGACCTCATACCTATAGGTGTCTATGTGAACGATTTCATGTATTTCTTTTTAATTTTAGTCATGCGTTAGTTTGAAAGGCCGTGTTAGGTATACCTATGGAGCGAGAGTTGGTGGGATCAGTTAATACTTAATTCAGCGTTTTGTCATGTGTGACAATCAGTGTGTATTTGTAATGTGTGTGTCTTGTGTTGTCAATTTTTGAATTGATGACGGGATGTTGGCGAAATATATCCATCCATTTTAGGCTAAGTTAAGACTATTGAAGATAGTGCCATATATACAGTTACTTCTCCACGCTTACTCAATCTTATTAACCCTAGAACGCCTAGGGGGGGGGGGTTGTATCAACCCCCCCCCCCTGAGGTTTTTTCGAAGTGCACGCTAAACGGCTTGTCGTAGCGGGCTGAAATTTTCAATACCCTCTGGGGCAACCTTTGCGCATCTTTTGCCGAAAAAAAATTGATCGGGTCATGTCAGGTCACGGAGTTATGACGTCATAAGAGGTACAGCCTCCGGCCGACAGTTACCAAACGTGTGCGCCGAATCCCTAGGTTTTCTGCCGGTGATACCCACATTGTTTGATGGATCATGATGAAACTTCCCATGCATGTTGGGGCAAGCATTGGTTATCGTGTGGTGTAAGAAAATTGACCGGGTCAGGTCAGGTCACGGAGTTATGACGTCATAAGAGGAACAGCGTCCGGTACTATTTTTGAAAAGCGCCCGAACCACTATTTTGCTAATTCTTGTCACCTCAATGGGAATATGCAGCAATATTAGCTTCTATAAGGAGCAAATGGACCTTCCGAATCCAAAAATACAATCAGATTTCAAAAATTTAAATTTTGATTTTTCGAATTTCGGCCGCCGACTGTGACCTTGCCGACTTCCGGCGCTCCCAACGCGCCATTTTTAGAGCTAGGGAAACGAAATACATACCAAACGATAGAAAATTGATCAAGGAACACGATAGTGAAGGTTTCAAGTCGATATCTCCCACCGTTTTGCCGCAATCGCCGCGGAAAGTTGAAAAAAGTCTATTTTTCCGAAAATCTGACCTTTGACCGGTCAAAAGTAGGTCAAATGTTGACCTAGGACCAAAAAATATACCACCAATCGCGAGATCTCGTTGAGAGCAATCCGTTGTTTTTTTCCGCTAAGCTCTACGACCTTCCGTTTCGAAACGCCAGGGGGGGGTCGTAACAACCCCCCCCCTGGTCGTTCGTGTTATGAGAAATGGCCTGGTCGTGCGAGGGTTAACCTGCGCATGACTGGGGTATTTTCCATAACGCGAGTGCCTGGGGGGCTCTCCAGAGCCCCCCCCCCCCCTCTTATCTCCGAAACTACTAGGCTGATCGTCAAAATTCAAACGGCGTTTAATAGCCCTGGAAAAACTGTCGAACGAAACCTATTTTCATTGACCTCGAGGTCACCGATGACGTCAAAGGTCAGGTCAAAGTAAAAATCATCGGCATTTTTGCTTATTCACAATTCAGGCTCTGGCCGCCGGCTGACAAATCCGATCAGGCTCATTTTTGGTTTACGCACTCCTTCATATATGCCCTAGATACCCTGAGGGTACCGAACTTTTACTTCGAATTTTTCACGTCAAGGCCAGGTCATCCTAGGTCACGAAAATTGTACATCATGTAGGGGAAGTTGGGGCAATGCCGGAGTTGGGGCAAAGCCGAAATTCGAGATATTTCGAAAACCGTAAGACATGGATGCCACCTGTCAGTGATGCTCTGAAGCTTAAGTGACTACAATTATCGCATGTTTGTTACGAGTCGTCATTCGGAATACTTCGGCTGTGAGGGCGCCAGCTGAGCGTTTTCAAGGTACGCGTTCCTTGTACTACATGCGCCTTTGAAGCTGCATTTCTTACTCATTATGCTACCGTTTGTCTGGCCAATTCGGTCAAGTAATCTTCAGCATGTCTTTGCATAAGTGTGCTGCCTGTTTGAAATTTATACGGCACGTTGAAAAGTTATGGGCCTGCAAATGAAAGTATGGCTGGCTGGGGTAATGCCGAAAACGTGCAATTACGCACGTTAAAGCACGCTACGTGGACTTTACTGCTGTAGAATAGCAACGCGAATTTTTAGTCACACAAATTACACTTTCAACCGACACAACGGCCTGTTACCTATACTATAAGGAATTATTTACCTGGCATTTTCTTATCATATCACACAATTATAACTTCCAGTGTGCACCAAGCGTCCCTCTTAAAACGCGTGTCAGCTTTGATAAATTCTGGATAAAGTTTGAGATAAAGTGGCAAAACATCAATGTCGGCATTCCCCGTAGATCATTTCTCCCATTTTCGGCTTTCCCCGCAGTCCGGGGCAACGCCGAAAAAGTCACTTCTTTGATATTTTTAGTTTGTGCGCTTAACGGTATGCGAATTCATCAAATGCGCCTGGTATGTTTGAAAGGCAAAAGACTGGCCTCTCGAATGACGCCAACAAGAATAGCTTATGTTGTCTACCTTGCGTGCTACGGGCGTCAGAAAAAAAGTATTCGGCGTTCCCCCAACTTCCCCTATCGGTCACGTGACGCATGTTTTATGGTCCATTTTACTCGTAGATTTCCAAAATGATGTCGCCTGTGTTATTTGAGGTCATTTTCAGCTGAATTTACCGTAGGTCAAGTCACTTTCAGGTCAGAAAAGGTCAAATTTTGAAAATGAAATTTTTCAACAAAAAAGTGCCTCTCAGATGCAGTTTGAGCTCAAGAACACGATAGTGCCATTTAAATTGCTGTACGATCTCAAAAACGTTCCAAAAAATGGCTTTGAAAAATATATTATTGTAAAATTTTGACAATAATGCTAATAACTTGGCTATTTTTTAAGATATTGGGCTAAAACTTGCTACAGTAGTTCATAAGTGTGTGCTCTATTACATATATTCTGGCTTTTGCGAAAAATCAAAAACTTTTTGAAAAAAATCAAAAAATATATTTTTTTTAATTGTAAAAACATATTTTTCAAAATTTTCAAAATTTTGAAAATTCGAGATAGCAGTTTGATAGCCATGGGTATTTGTAGCCCACTGATTAAAAAAAATGGATCTAGCTTTGAAACTAAGCTCTTGAGAGCGTTTGCCGTAATTCAATATTTTGCATCAAAATCGGCCGACATGACGTAACCCTATGCGGCGACTCGGGCATCAGCCAGAGACTCGGGCATCAGCCAGCGACTCGGGCATCAGCCAGCGACTCGGGCATCAGCCAGCGACTCGGGCATCAGCCAGAAGTTTGAGAGATCGAGAACGAAGCAAGATAGCGACAAGCGCTAAATGGCATGGGGTACCTACCTAGGTGTAAACCACCGCTAATTGCTTCGTAATAGGTACGTTGCATAGGCATCCTTCGCCAAAGCTACTTCTCAAATGGCCACATGAGTGTTCAATTCGAAATGAGTCCAAAAACTACCCAGAAAAGTCGTAACGCTCAAATAAGTCACCCAAGGCCATCAAAGTTCAATGACCTAGACCTGACCTTCAAACGACCTTGAAACCCCACCATATCGCATGGGACATATAGGCACCATTTCATACCTATTTGGCACGTATCACAATCACAATCACGATCACAATCACAAAAAGTCTGAAAACGCACGAATAATATGTGGCTGGCATGCGCCGAATCGCAATGCCGACCTGACAGGGTCACGAGAAACAGGTCACAGGTCGAAGGTTAGGATATAGATCAGGGTCAGGAAAAATTTAAGGTAAGTATTTAAAATCAAATAACTATAGAGGATACCGCAAGCTTCGTCGACACCGTTCGCTCTTTCCACGCCGTATTCGCAAAAAAAAGAGGGGTCCATCCGACCCCATCCCACTATAAGTGCGAGGGAATGTTGATGACACGTGACCGACCTGTCCTCAGTCCTTAGATGACCCGTACCTATGAAACAAATATTGGCATTGCGTGTTGTGAGTACCTTCAGTGGAGCTTGCTACTTCCTGCAAGTTCAATCCTCTACAGTCTACGAGTACGAGGGCAATGCGACTTTGCGATATTTAGGTATGGGTCGTGCAGGGGTTAACACTTGACGTCATAGGTCAGTGACCCAGACCCGACCTGAAAATCTAGTTGATGTCGCAAGATTCCACTTGAATCAAACGTCAGGCCTCACTGTCGCCTCAGCCAGCCACCTCCTCGGCTATGCCACCTATAAAACTATATCGCTAGCACCAGGGGCGGATCCAGAAAATCTCCAAGGGAGGGGCCATTAGAAACCAGGAGGCCCCCCCCCCATAATCCCACCTGTTGGAGGCCCCATCTTCCCACTTGTTGGCCCCCCCCCCAAAAAAAAAACTGCGTCTATTGAGCTTATCTAGCTGTTCAGGCAACATCTCAACATCTGTGTAGGCTTGGAGGCCCTCTGTGCAGGTTAGGAGGCCCTGTAAAAGTGGTCATCTCTGTGAGTATAAGAGACCTCCAAGTTATGAAAAGCTTTACCAATCTTCTAACAAAGAAGTCTTCTCAGCTAGTCTTCTAAGAAATAACTAAGTGGGTAGGTTAAAAAAAAACTCATCGGATTTCGGCCACTTTATTTTCAGGAGGCCCCCTTTTCAGCTTTTTAACTTTTTAACTTTTTATTTTATTTTTGAAAAAAATCGGCCAAGGGGGGGGGCCATGGCCCCCATGGCCCCCCCCCCCTTGTATCCGCGCCTGGCTAGCACGCTCCGAGCAGCCGCGAGAAGGCCGTGAAAAGGCACCAGCCCGACACGTGACTGACCAAGTGGCGGTATCACCCCCTCCATACCACCCCCCCTCCCCGAGGCCCTCGGCTGGGGAGTGATTCCGGAAGAAGTTACGTGGTAATGGATAGGTACATACGGTTACGCGGGCTTCCCGCCCCCAAACTGATCAAGCTGCAGCGCCAGCAATCGACTTCGAACCGACGCTCGAGTTCCAGTCCGCTGCCGACGCGTGCTGCGCGGACATTTGGTTGGATGGGCCATGAGAGCTCACCTGATTGTAGTTTGGTTGGCGTCACGCGCCCCGCGCCGCTCTGCCCTTTACTCCGAGCTGATGACGGGGCGCCTCAATCAGTTGCAGACCGACCGGCACCGTCCGATGACTAATCTTGAAATCCAGCATCAAAAGGACATGGCCCAGGAAAAATGGTAAAAATGGTCAGGTTGGGTTCAGGTAGATAAGGTTGAGTTTAGGACCAAACAGTCTTACTACTGGATTTCAATAACCTATACGCGCGCGGAGATGGCGGGAGCGCGGACGCGCGGTTCCTGCCCCTGCGGCAGCCGTTACGATAGCGTATAGACCGCGCATTACACAGCACAGGCGTATCAGTATACCACACCACATCCACTGCGATACATTCCACACACATCTCTCGGACATACCTACGCACCCCGGCTCACCATCTCCAACCAGTGTGTGTGTGTTTTTATATACCTTGTCTCCAACATTCCGCGGCTCACAGTTCGCTCACAACGCAGGACGACAGGGCGCCTGGGGCGATTTGATCAAGGTTCGTGAAATTCACACGTGATTTTTACACGTAGAAGGCCATGAAGGGGGAGAACTTCCAAATGTCACGTGACTAATATGCCCTCCGGCGCCCTGTTTTCACCGGCGTCCCAACAGCACGCAAGCAAATAAAGCGTCAAGGATAGCCCAAATAGCGGTATTTCTGCAAATACCAAACAGCTGCCAAATATTGATTTTAACGGTTTTTGATATTTAACTTATTCCATTTGCTTCTTTTAGCATGACATAAATATATTTTGTTTTAGTTGAAAAAAATTAATGTTCATAATGTTGCAGTTAACTATATTTGTGCTTATTTAACCCGCGCCGCACGGTTCGTGGGAAAGTCATTTCATCCACAAAAGAAACGAAATATACCATTTTTAAAGCCATAGGCGCGGGAGTCGGGGGGGACAATGGGGGCAGCTTGCCCCCCCCCCCCCCCAGCTCTGGGGCCGTGGGGGCGATGCCCCACAGCTTTGAGACGGAATACCACACTTTTTTGCAAATGTTTTCTTTTTTGTTGAAAAAGCCAAGGGATGAAAAATAAGTGGCCTAAAACCGGTGAGAAAACTAGATTTGGGGGTACACTAGGTTGATCTCTATTATAGTGTGCCCCTTCCCCTCCCCCCCCCGTCTGAACGTAGTTCCCGCGCCCCTCTTGAAAGCTGACGGTGAGCTGATTCTAAAAATGTGTTTTTAACAAAATCGTTCGATGGCCTTTTTCAAAAATTGCGTTTTGGTAAAAACTTGATAATTTTTATTGAACAAGCTGTCCAGGACATGCTTAACCCTCGCCCGTATTGGTGTTTTTCCAGCCGCGAACGTATAAGGGGGGGGGGGGTCCGTTGGACCCCCACCCCTTGCCGTTTCGCCCCTGATCGAGCTAGAGCTTCGCGGAAAAAACGAGCGTGTTGCCCGTGACGAGAGGAAGCCGATGATACCCAATTTTAAGGTCCTAGGTCATTGGTTGACATTGCAGGTCAGGTCAATGACCCCAAAGGCGGGAAAATCGGGACCTGTTAGAACGTCGTAAAGTGTGGCTGCTATGGGGTTTTTCGGGGTGCTGATCACGAATATCATGTTAGTTTTGATCACAGATGTCTTCATGTATTTAGGCCAGGTCGGGTCAGGTCAGGTCAGGTCAACCAGTAAGGGTATTCGTAGTAGGTGGCAACCGCCTCTGACAGCTTCGTAACATGTTACGAAGGCACTAAAACTACTTCATAAATGTTTATATGGTTGCTAAATTCGAATTCAGCTCCAAAAACTGGCCTAGAAACATGTAAAACTCGAAAAAGTGAAGCGAGGTCATCAAAGGTCAATGACCTGACCTGACCTTCAGGTGACCTTGACACCCACCCTAATGCATGGGGGCAACATCATATCACACGTTTGAACGCTTGAAACCACGAAAAGACTGCAAACGCGCGGCTAATGCGAGCCGACATACGCCGAATCGCGATTCCAGCCAAACATGGTCTCGAAAAGTAGGTCACAGGTCAAAGGTCATTTGGGTCAGGGTCATGAAATTTTCAGGGTAGGTGTGAAATTGATGAACGCGAGGGTACTGAAAGTTTCGTCGCGATCGGCCGCTTTTTACGCGAGTTATTCGCGAAAAACCATGGAAGGGGGTCCGTTCGACCCCCCCCCCCCCTATACGGGCGAGGGTTAACATCATAGGCATGTTTTTTCGTTTTCCAGTGAAAGCTGAATGCCAAAAGAACAATATGAAACGAAAAATATTATCAGATATTAATTTGCGTCTCTCACAGCTGGCAACAAGGCGCAATCACACAGCTCAGTGTCATGATGGATGCAAGGATAGTCACCGAGTTCTATGGGCTATCGAATGATGTGCTTTAGTTCGCGATTATAAATGCCCGGTAGGTAAGACAAGAACTGCTGTCTAAAAAGTTAATTGTATTCAAAACGGGCTTCGCTGAGGAAACTAAATATTATAACCAAATATTTCGGCTTTATTGATCAGCCTTGTTCACTGGTTTTGTTTCACTGGATCAATAAAGCCGAAATATTTGATTATAATATTTAGTTTCCTCAACGAAGCCCGTTTTGAAAACAATTAACATTTTAGACCTGAGGAAAAGAATAATGACGCTTCGGCAACAAGAACTGCTATTAACTTGTTTGTGGTGAAGCTAAAATGTGTAGGGTTCACTCCGCAGATCCTCAACACTAATCTGGACGGCACTCAATCTCAGAGCAAATCAGCCTCTACCAGTGCGAGGTCACCGCTAGTCTCCGGGAGGACACAGGAGGGTTTACACTCCGGGTGCCCCCGGCTTCGGACCGTACACGGTGCCCACTCCCCAGCCCTGATTCGACCCGGGTTAGACCACTTGGTCATATAGAAATCAGCACACCGCAGAACATGACCGATAGCGAGCGAACATAAAATGCCCCCACAAAAGAACACGACTTTAAGCTAGGTAATGTCGATTAAGATTCCGTAAGTGTCGATTAGATATCGGCGACTATGAATCCGACTCAGACTTGGGGCAGAACTGTCCGCCGCGGCTCGACTTTGCAGCCCTGATACTGGGCATCATACGTCCGCCGTCTGCCGTCATCGTCATGCCCATTGATAATTATATCCAGGCATCCTTTCATCTGCCCGCCATTCTTTTGGCGCATAATATAACATTTTTTCAGTGCTGAGAGAGAGAGGACCGGGTCCAACGGTTCTGTGCGCTGGCCGCGCACGAGACAAACCAGTCACAATCGGCCTGCATATTATTCGCTATACACGCTGCAGACGGCAGTACAGAGATCGGGCCGGCGTGTCCTCCGCTGCCGCTGGCCCCGAGCGGCGGCGCTAGCCCGGCACGGCCAGCGAGCGGCCCAGCCCCGCGACCCCGCCGGTCACCAGCGGCGCTGGCGGCCCCACGGCCCACAGCGCTCAAACCGGACTGCGGCCCACAGCGCTCACACCGGCCCCACGGCCCACAGCGCTCCACACCGGACTACAGCCCACAGCGCTCACACGCCGCCAGTCGCACCAAACACCCGCCCGTATAAAAACACACGGTAATCGCTCTCACTCCACATCCGAGCTCACAAACACAAATAAAAACTTCTCGCAGGTCGGCAGCGCCGTTACGCTGTCGGAGCCGCGGCGACCTGGGCACACCACGAACGGTATATCATGGCCGGTCCTGGTAGAGCCGAGCCCGCCACCCGGCCGGCGGCCGGCGGCGACAGCCCCGGCGGCCGTCACTGTCCACGGCGCGGGGCACCAGTCGAGTGTCTGTCGCACCGCCCCGGACCGCGCCGGAGCGCTGGACCGGGCCAGCAGCCGAGAGTCGGCCCGTCTATCACACCGTCCCCGCACAGGGCCGGAGCACCGGCCCTCACCGGTCCGGCGGCGGTCCTCACCGGTCCTCCCGCCGCCCTCACTGGTCCTCCAGGTAGAGCACGTCGTCGTCCTCGTCCTCCTCGTCCTCGTCCGTGTCGAAGTCGATGCTGGGCGTGGCCGAGTCGCCGCGCTCCGAGGTGGACGTGCCGCTGTCAGGGCCGGCGCGCGCCTGCAGCGAGCCGGCCAGCTCCGAGGGCAGCTCCGAGTCGACGCCGTCTCGCGCCAGCTCTGCCGTCACACGACCACACACGCTCATAACCGACCGCTCTGAATATTTGGGTTTGGGGGCGACGCAAAAATAAAGGACTGTGGTGCTTACCGACATAAGCAGTTGTTTATAAGTTTCTTATGATACGGGCATGACAAGTATGTAGCATGTTTAAAAAATTAGGCCATGAACTTGGCATAAGTTGAAGTTTCAAATGACAATTAAAGTCGTATATTCACCTAAAAAATGATGCGCAGTTGCCGAAGATAAAATACGTGGCAATGTTCCACATGATCGGCGAAAATTAATCAAAGCTTGCTACATAAGGCTGATTTTGTAAAAATTAATCCGTTTTGTGTCACTTTGCCCTATCAAAGAAAATTCTTCACTACTCCACTAGATGTCTGATAAATATGAAAACGGCATTTGGAAGTCGAATGATCTGAAGAAAAAATCCAGTGTAGAAACGGATCTTGCGAAATTTTGGCAGATGTTTGATCTCGGCAAGAAAGAGCGCAAAACCGTGTGTGATGAAGCGGTTTATGGTGCACGGTGGGGATCCCGGCGAGGCGGCCCGCTTCCAGCTGCAGTGGTGTGGGGGGGAGGGAGGGGGGCTGCTCTCTGTAGCGGGACAGGGGCGGGAAGGGTGGTAACGTTCCCCTGCAGGGATAGGTGGGTCGGTCCGTTCCCTGCAGGGGTATGAAGGGCGGCTCGCTCCCTGCAGTGATGTGAACAGCGGCCCGCTCCCTGCAGGGGACGGGGGCGAGAATTACAGTCCGGCGGCGGCGTCCACTCACGGTCTATGTAGGGCGCCAGCGCCGGCGGCACCATGGCCTTGGCCTTCTCGACGTCCTCGTCTCGACAGGTGCCGTTCTCCAGTCCTGTGAGGGCACGGCACGGGTGTGAGCGCGGCGCTGTCCTATCGCGGCGCTACAGACGCCTATCGCGCCGCCGGCGGGGGCCCGACACCGACCACACGGCCGGAGGAGTCCGACACCGATTGTACGGCCAGGGCAAGAGGCCAGGGGAGCGGCAGGCGATCACCTTTGCTGGGATCGCTGTCCTACATGACTGGACTCGCTGTCCAAAACGGCTGAAGTTCCGATAAATTCGTAAATAAGTTCCATGGCAGGCCCATCCCCTAGCCTAGCGCCCCGTGGTCCAGCGACCAGTGATCACTCACCTAACGCCAGACCATCCTCTACATTCACCCCGGTCCAAAGTGACCACTCACCTACCGCCAGGCCCATCCCCTACATTTCCTCCGGTCCAAAGTGACCACTCACCTAACGCCAGACCCATCCTCTTGAGGACTTCGATGTCGTCGTGAATCTCGAACGTGTCATCAAAGTTGAACAGGTATTCCATTCTGTGCAGAAATGAAAAAGATGTCAGTGATCACGTTTTGAGAGGGATATAGAAAAAGACTAAGGGCGATATATAGGTACTTACTAAGAATGCAAAGCAATCAGACGGAATGGCAACGTCAAGTCATTTCATTTAAGCACCCAACAGCAGCGGGCGTATTTCCCGCTGCACCGGCCCGGACTGGTTAGTGGTGGCGCCACCGGCCCCGTGTCGGCTCACTTGTCGTTGGATATGCTGCAGTCGATGACCGTCTTTTTGTTGGTGTTGACGATGATGAAGGGTAGCTGGACGGTGGAGTTGGGCGGCGGCGGGCCGCCCTCCTCCTCGGCCTGGCGGCGGGCAAACACAGCGGGTTACACACGAGACTGGGTCAGACATAACACACCGGGTCAGATACAATACACCGGGTCACCGCCGGGTCGGACACAACACACCGGGTCGGACACAACACACCGGGTCAGACACAACACACCGGGTCAGACACAACACACCGGGTCAGACACAACACACCGGGTCAGACACAACACACCGGGTAACCGCCGGGTCAGACACACCGGGTCAGACACAACACACCGGGTTACCGCCGGGTCAGACACAACACACCGGGTCAGACACAACACACCGGGTCAGACACAACACACCGGGTCAGACACAACACACCGGGTTACCGCCGGGTCAGACACAACACACCGGGTCAGACACAACACACCAGGTCACCGCCGGGTCAGACACACCGGGTCAGACACCGGGTCACAATAACATACCAGAACGGCAGCTGAGACCGATCGTCGCGGGACACCGACAGGGAACAGTCACAGTAACATCACTTCAAAGGCTGTCTGATTGACACACAGGGTGTACCGAGTCTCCCGAGCCATGCCCTAGCGGCTGTCTGCCTCCCCAGCTCCCCTCTCCCGGCTGCCCCTCCCCCTTTCTCACCCGACCACCCACCTTGCGGTTCCTCTCCACCAGATTTTTGAAGGCGATCTGCTGCAGAAGCAGGTCCTTCAGCTGCTGCGTCTTCAGGTTGATGCGCTGCATCCTCTGCACCTTCTCGCGCTCCAGGTTCTTACACTCCTGCCGAGGGAAGCTGCCGTCAGCTGCACCCCGCATACGAGTGAGACGTGTAACTGACACAGGACACATCTTACACTCCTGCCGGGGGAAGCTGCCGTCAACACCCGCACACGAGTGAGATATGTAACTGACACAGGCACACACCGCGTGCTGCTCAGGCCATAGTACCGCCAGATGGCGCAGGCGCAAAGATTAGACGTAGATTGGGAGCACAGAGTGGACCCGAAACACTGTCCAGCTGACTGCGTCCAGCGCGAGACTCGGCAGTGAGCAGTGAACGGCCGGAAAACGTCCACTGCGAGACTCAGCAGTGAATGGCCGGAGAATGTCCACAGCGAGACTCGGTAGTGGGCTGAGAACGGCCAGAGAATGTCCACCGCGAGACTCGGCACTCAGCGGGTGGAGCTGAGAATGGCCGGAGAATGTCCACAGCGGGGCTGCGGGGTTGATGGATTTACGGCGACTCCGACTCCGACTCCGGCTTTCAAAAACCAATTCCGACTCCGACTCAGACTCCGGGCAGAAATGTCGACTCCGATCGACTCCAACTCCCGACTCCGACTCCGCACACATGGCAGGGCTGCGGAGTCGACAGACTTTCGGTGACTACGACTCCGACTCCGGCTGGGGTTTCCAATATCGACTCCGACTCCGACTCCGACTCCGGTCACAACTGTCGACTCCGACCGACTCCGACTCCGACTCCAACTCCGACTCCGCAGCCCTGGTCCACAGCGAGACTCGGCACTCAGCGGGTGGAGCTGAGAACGGCAGGCAGAGAGCGCTGGTTCCAACCACTCCGGCCCGCTCCATAAATGATGATCGTTACAAGGATAGGGACTTACGATACAGGATGTTATACCAGACAGATGGAACTGTTTAACTGATCACTAAATTCACCAGTCTGATCGACATTTAATGATCAAGATCATTAAATAACGTTAGCGATGCAGCGTGAGAAGCTCTGCTGACTACTGTTCTTGCCCACCTGGCTAACAAAAACACACAATAAATGGAGTGTTTGAAAACGAAACACACAGCCGCCGGTGACGGCGAGCTGGTCGCGCGCGGCCCACCTGCAGCGAGTTGGTCGGCAGGCCGAGCCACTTTATCTCCTTGCGCTCCTTGCTGATGATGTTCATGGCCATGAGCACGTTGAGCGCGTCGTAGACGCGGCGTCGGATATTTTTCTGGTCGCAGTGCTGTTCGGAGGGCGACTCGCAACGGCCGCTCGTCTCCGTCAGCTCGGCCACCAGCTCGTCCGCCACCTGGGGGCACCGCCGTCCGGTCAGCAGACGGTCAGTTCAGCACGCAACGGCCCGCCACCTGTGGGCGCTTAGTGGTTACAGGCAGCCCAGCCGCCACCTGCGGGTTGTAGCAACACTCGCCATCAGCTCAGCCCGCGACCTCGCCCCTGCCACCAATAATACAGCTCACCACAGACCATTTTATGATCAGGCAGGACACAGCCGAGTTCCAAGTGACCAACTGCAAAGTACTAGTTATTAGCCGCCGCCCGCACCGTGCCCGCCGTCCCGTCACGGCCCGCCTCCCCCGGCTCCCTGGCCGCGCAGCTCACCTCGTTATAACTGGTGATGCCCTTGGCTCGCACTTTTTCGCAGACCTTCATCGAAAAGTGTCGCAGTCCTTTGCTGGCCTTCTCTGTCCGTCTCCGCTTACTGCGAGGGAGGGAGGGAGGGAGGGGCGGTGTCAGGGCAGGGGCGGAGATAGGGCAGACTAGTGCTGAGTAACTGGGACTGAGTCAGAGGAGGGGCAGCGTCAGGACAGAGGGCGGAGTCAGGAGAGGGCGGAGTCAGGACAGAGGGCTGAGTCAGGGGAGGGGCAGCGTCAGGACAGGGGGCGTAGTCAGGACAGAGGGCATAATCAGGACAGAGGGCTGAGTCAGTGCAGGGGAGAGTCAGGACAGAGGGCGGCGCCCGTAGTATTCAACATTCCGACTCGGACGCCACGGCCAGCACAACAGCCACTCCACGACCTAATGCCGGTCGGCCAGTCCCAGCCCCAGCTCAGGGCCAGCCCCGTCCCTCACTCACCTCGTCCTTTCCCAGTCCTCGTCTCCTATAACTTTCCCCTTCCCATACTTACCCCTACTATCCTCGTCCCTGTCACTCTATCTCCAATTATCCCTCCTCCTTCTCCCCTCGCCCCTCCCACTCACCCGTCCCCGTCTCTCCGTCTCCCACTCCCCCTCCGTCCTCCACCATCCCCTCTCACCCGTCTGGCCAGAGGTCGGGGTCGGCCGGGTGCCGCTTCCTGGCGCCGCTGTGGTCCAGGATCGGCGAGAGGAAGGCGGCGCGCCCGCCGGCGCCCGCCGCCGGCCGGCCCGGCGGCGACGGCGGCTCAGCGCGCACCAGCAGAGAGGCGGGCGGCAGCGGAGCCAGCTCCGGTGACGGCGACGACTCGTCCAGATCCACCAGCTCCGGCTCCGGATCCGGCCGGGCCCGCGGCGCCGGCCGCGGCTCGGCGGGCGCCGCGCCGACGCCGGCCGGCGGTCCGGACGGCAGCACGCGCCGCTTCGGTGTGCCGTTCCGCCGGGCAGTGAACAGGGTGCGCCGCTGGGCAGACGCAGAAGGACGTCAGACGGCCAAGAAGCGGCTCAAAGGGCTCACAGGCGGCTCAGAGGGCTCAAAGACATCAAACAGACGACGCACAGACAGAGCACAGACGGCTCAGAGGGGTCACAGACGTCAAACGGCCCACAGACGGCGCGCAGACAGTGCACAGACTCACAGACGGCCCAAAGACGGAGCGCAGACGTCGAGACAGCTCACAAACGGCTCGCAGAGGGCTCACAGAGGTCTCATACGCGACTCACAAGCGGCGCAGAGACGGTTCATAGACTCACAAACGGCTCACAGGCGGAGCACAGTCGGCTCACAGACGGTTCACAGGCGGCGCAGAGACGGTTCACAGGCAGCTCACAGACGGTTCACAGGCAGCTCACAGACGGTTCATACACGGTCCACAGACCGATGGAACTACAGACGTAACAGCCTGGCGTGAACATCCACAGGCACATGACACGCTGACTAAGTTACAGGCCGCGCGGGCGCTGACCGCGTGTCGGGCGTGTCCGTTATATACTGACCAGAGGCGAGCTGCCCGTCTGCAGTTGCTGCGCCTGCTGCGCCGATATGGTGACGATCTGAGCGCCTGTAACACGGGCACGGCGTCAGGCGCGGCGGGGGGGGGGGGCAGCGCAGCCGCGAGGTGAGAGCTCGGGGCCCGGCGCGCAGCAACACACACCATGGGACATATTCTACGCAGCGCCGAATGCTAGACCTGTTGCACAGAATGAAAAAGACAGAATGAAGTCTACAGACAGTCAATAAATCCGTCCATACTAAATCACGATGAGCTAATTCTATTGCAGTGGTCACTGTTACCGCCGCCTATCGGAGTGTTCCCGCTGCCTGTCCGAGAGAGCACCGGACTGTGGCGGCCGGTGCCAGGCGCTGAGTCCCCGCGGGCGGCTGGTCTCGACAGACCCACCCCGCTGTCCCGGCGCGTGGCACGGCCTACTTACCGGGAGTAATGACGGGCCGCGAGGCGCGGGCAACCACCGACGACTGAAACACAGGCGCACAGAGTCAGAGGGACTGAAACATACACAGTCACACTGAAACACAGACATACAGAGTCAAATGGACGACCGAAACACAGACAGACACACAGAGTCCAGACAGACTGAAACACAAACACCCACAGTCAGACAGGACGCGAGGTGCCGACGACGGGGAGGGTTCCTCGTCCTCACCCCTCAACTGGACTGTCCCGGAGTGTTCCCATTCCCTGCCTCGGACTGTCAGGGTTCCCAGCCCTCCCTACCCCGGACTGCCCCGGAGGGCTCCCATCCCAGCCCTCGCTGCCCCGGACTGCCCCGGAGGGCTCCCGACCTGGCCGGACGGCTGCAGCTGCACCCGGCGCACCACGTGCGCCGCCTGTCCGGCCGGCGCCGCCGTCTTGATGATGGCGCGCACCACCTGCGGCGCGGGCGCGGCGCCCCCGGCCGGCGCGGGCGCCGCCGCAGAGGTCACCACAGAGCCGCCGGCCGCCGCCGGCTTGGTCGGCGTGGCCTGCAGCACTCGGATCATCTGAGAAACGCCTGCGGTGCCCCACAGACGGACAGGTCAGAGACAGAGGTCAGGGACACGGGTCAGAGACAGAGGTCAGGGAAACGGGTCAGAGACACAGACACGGAGGTCAGGCGGGAAGAGGAGAGAGGGAGAGAGAGAGAGGGAGAGAGAGAGAGAGAGAGAGAGAGAGAGAGAGAGAGAGAGAGAGAGAGAGAGAGAGAGAGAGAGAGAGAGAGAGAGAGGTCAAAGATAAGGAGGTCACAGATAAGGACTCAGGAGGTCAAAGACAGTCCAGGGGTTGAAATAAGAGAAAGATAGGACGAAGACAGAGAGGTCAGGCAAAAGTTAGCGAGGCCACGAGTACGACACAAGGCGCGAAGGCATGGGCTCATTAATGATGCAATGATCGATTCATAAACCAGCTTCACGGAGCGACGTTACAAATTCACCGTCGAAAAATGGCGCTGTCCCGTCTAAGGGCGGGTCTATGAGTATTGCAGCAGTGCGGCTGGCCGGCCCAGTGAGGACGGCTGGCCGGTCTGGGGAGGGTGGCTGGGCCGGCGGTGTGGTTACCGTTCTGGTCCTGTATCCAGAGCGTTCCGAACTGTTGGCCGGCAGCAGTGGCCGCCGCGCTGGCCGGCGGGCCGCCACCACCGGACATGACCGAGAGACTGACTGGGACGCTTACACGGGCCGCTCACTGGACGACATCGCGGTCCCACCTGCGGGGGAGGGGTCACACGAGAGTCAGTCGCCGCTGAACTGTCATCTGTCAAAAGAATCAGTTGCCGCCGGGCTGTTACCTATCTGCCAAACAGGCCACTCGGTCATAATTACTTTATTTCATACAGCGGAGTTGTAATTTTGTGAACATATCCAAACGATGCGCTTGTGATACCTATGTGTGCAGAATACCAAGAAAACAAACTTAAAAAAGACATAACAAGCGCTTTTATAATGGGTAAATCTTTCCGCCCCGTCCTGTATGCAATATGCATTTCATAAAAGTTTGATCTTAACCCGCGCCCTGCTGGGGGGGGGTGTTTGAACACCCCCCCTTGTGGTTTTTCGCGAATATCTCAAAAACGGCGGCGCGGAGCGCCGCCGTTTTTGGTACACCTTACCATACATCAATTCTACACATGTTGTGAAAATTTCAGACCAAGGTCATCCAAGGTCAGGTCACCAGGTCACTTGAAGTGACCTCACCTCATAAAAACTTTCAATGTCTGTCATAGCTACACCGAGTGACCGATCGCTTTGAAACTTTCAGCGATTGCTAAGAGCAATAGCATGTACAAAATGTATATCTCAGAATTTTGATATCGATGACCTAAGGTCAATTTTGCGACCTCCCCATTATAAGTCAATGGGAGAAAATTGAAATGCGCCTCTTTTGGATGAAAGACATTATAAACACTCCCAAACACCGAATTACAAGTGGTTTAGACACACTGAACTTGAAAATGGTGTCCGTGACCCTTGTTTATGCCCTGAGGTCATCTTAGGTCACGAATGGTATCTAACAGTTTTTCGCAAATAACCTTTGATAGAGGCATGCTAGAGCGATGAAAACGCCTTAGATGTGTTCAGCTCGACGATACGGATCGACTGATATGCAACATGACCCTTTCCGGTCAGGTCATGACCTTGACCTGAGGTCAAATTTTCAAGTTGACCTTTCAAGGTCAATTCATAGTTCATTCGATGCGTCTTGACGAGAGGAACACGATGCCGGTAAAAGTAAGCTCGTACAAGGCTTGGGTCAAAAGTTATTGCAGAAAAACTGTTTTCGAAAAAATCGGCTATTTTTGCAGTTTTTGCCCCCTGCAGGCAAAACCGTTGACGTTAGGTCAAATCTGAGAGAATTACTCAGAAAGGGCGTTAATAGGGCTATCGAATGCGCTTTTCCGCGGCGCTGTAGCTCTATTGGTTCCCGAGTTATGCGTTGGCTTCTTGGAAATTTTCGACATTCGACCTGGAAATCGGCGAAATTTTGCCTTCAATGACCTCTGGTGACCTGACCTTTGACCTGACCAAAAAATTGACCGAAGTGATTTCGTCATTATTTTTTACGGTCTTTCGAACGCCGCCTTCCGCGTATCGCTACGTGGCCCAGGAGCCGAGTTACAAGGGGGGGGTGTTCAAACACCCCCCCCCCCCAGCAGGGCGTGGAAATCCAGGACCCCCAGCAGGGCGCGGGTTAACCCTCGCCGGCCAAGGGAGAGGTGCTGGTGCCCCCTCCCCCACCCCTGGATATTTTTTCCCGATTCAGATTTTTTTCGATTCAGAATTCAGAGCACGTCGGCGATAGAGAGCTGAAAGTTAGCATTACTAACCCTTAGCCAGATCTTTTGACACCAATCGCATTTTCGGGTCAGGTTAGGTCAATGACCTATAATATCGTAAGTGAACCTCTGCACGGTCCTCAGATGCCGCAGCTTCGCAACGCCCTCGGTGCCAGAGGAACCTTCACAAGGAGATGAAACTTAGAGGCCTTCCAAGGCGTCATAACTTGTATATTTCGGATTTTTTTTCCCCTGAGGCTAAGGGTCACCTGATTCAATTCAGTAACGTGACCGCACCACTACAAGTCATGGAGGAATATGAAATACGTTATTTTGGCGCCGAAAATGATCTAAGGCTAAATCAAGCAGAAGGAGTAGTGATTTCATACTCTGCCAGGTCTAATGTACCATGTTTGCAATGTTGACCCTACGTGACGTCAAGATGATGTCATATAGCGACGTCGTATATGACGTGACTAAAAATTAAAAACTATGATGTACACATATTTTTTCGTCGATAACTCCAGATCAAATTCAGCTAGTACGCCGGAAAAGCCACCCATGGGCTCAGGAAGACCGGCCAAATTAAATGATATGTGGTATGAGTGCTGGAAATGAGGCCTCTCTCTGGCCCCGGCATTTATTCTTCGAGTGGGTTAACCCCGTCTAGCACTTAGCCGTTCGGGACCCATCAGAGCCACGGTTGTTTTCGCCGGTCAGCCCATTCGAGATACAAAGTTGATAGTCACACGAACTTTATATGGGGCCGGGGCGCCCTCTGAATACACGACTTCGAAATTAATTGATTCTACCAAATCTTTTTTTTCATCTATATACATACATTTAACAGAAACTCCGGACTAAGCTGGTTTGGCTGGCCCTAAATAACCTTCGTGACTCATGGAACTATTAACTTTGCATCTCGACTGGGGTGAACGGAGAAAACAACCGCGAACCTAAGTGGGTCCCGAAAGGCATAACACACACACACACACACACACACACACACACACACACACACACACACACACACACACACACACACACACACACACACACACACACACACACACACACACAACGAATTTTATTACAAACATAAATGGACAGAAATAAAAATAAGATGAACATGCAATTGGCGCAAAAGTGCCTTAGCACTTGATTCATGGCGCCTTTTGCTTAATCAGCATTTTGATTTCGTACACTTTTTACCTTATTATCTATGTGTTTGCTTACTTATTCTTGTTACTTATTCATTTATTGACTACTTGTTGACCGCCGCTCGTGTAGGTGTGGTTACTTTTACCCGCTCAGTAATAAAGATGGATCAGCAGCCGGCAGCAGCAGTGCCAGGGGTTCCCAGAACTACAGACGAGGGTGTACATGATGTCATTAAAAACGTTTAGTTGACGTAATATAATTTTGGACCTGTTGTGCTAATGTCAGGAGTTGTTCGTGGTCGTTGGTTGTACCGTGTAGGAGGAGATTCAGTTTATATGAGTCTGGTTTGAGGGCGAAGTCTTCACAACAATGGACTGGGTTAACCCAACCGGAGAAGAAAATGCTGGGACGACAAAGAGACCACATTTCCAACACTGCAGTTACGTGCCGTCTTTATAACGGAGCGAGCGAAGAGAGCGTAGTCTTTCCTTAGATTGACAGAAAATTTTCTGAGTATGAGCGGCCGGCCGGCCCGCCGTGGTCACGGTTTTGAGAGGCTTATATCTCAGCAACCACTTGACCGATTTGCATGTGGTAATTTTTGTAGGGCATGCAGTAATTTTTAGTTTGAGTCAGTCTGAGTCGATCTGAATCGGTTCGAGTCGGTCGATTGAGCTTGACAAGTATGATCATTCTAGGGAAACATTTCTGCTATGGAAAGCATCTGGAATGCCTCGGGATGGTCCCATCTATCAGGCACACATTCAAGCTAAGCTTGAATGTAAAAGAGCGATACGCTTCATCAAAAGGTATGAAAACGAATTACGACAAGAGTCTTTGGCTTCAAAATTTGTTGATAAGGATGTTAAGAGTTTTTGGAAGGAAGTAAGCAATGTCAAAGGAGCAAAGATTCCGAGACCAAATACAATTAATGACGTATCTGGTGAAGCTAACATTGCTTCTTTATGGCAAACACATTTTAAGGATCTGCTTAACTCCGTGCCAGATAGCATGACAGACAAAGATAACGTATGGAATACAGAAGAGGATAATGAAATAGTACCTGTTACTGTTGAGGAGGTCAGGCATGCTTTGTTCGAGCTGAAAAAGGGTAAGGCAGGTGGTCCCGATCAAATATCTCCTGAGCATCTCCTACATGCTTCACATAGGCTTGTGACATTACTATGCTTGTGTTTCAATGCTTTCCTTCTTCATGGTTTCCTCCCAAGGTCTTTGATGACGGTGAGCATTGTTCCAATAGTAAAGAACAAAGCTGCTTCAATCACGGAAATGAATAATTATAGACCTGTGGCAACCCCTAATATGGTGAGTAAGCTTTTCGAGGTAGTACTGCAAAAACGACTTGAGAATTATTTGTTGACACAGGACAACCAGTTTGGCTTTAAAAAGAACCTTGGTACAGACCAATGCATTTACACTTTGAAAGAGATAGTTGAAAAGTATAAGTCAATGAATAGCATTGTCCATCTGTGTTTTCTTGATGCAAGCAAGGCGTTTGACCGTGTTAATCATAAAATTCTCTTTCAGAGGCTTTCAGAGAGAGGTGTTCCTTATGTGTACCTAAGATTGCTTGCGTTCTGGTACCAAGAGCAGGAAATGGTCATTAAATGGGGATCCACTTTTTCAGAAAAGTTTAAAGTGTCCAATGGTGTCCGGCAGGGAGGTATCTTGTCACCTCCCCTTTTCAACGTGTTTATAGATGAGCTGTCTAGCAGATTAAATGAAATGGGCATAGGTTGTCTTATAGGTCGGAAATTGGTCAATCACCTGATGTATGCTGATGATGTGGTGCTAATCTCTCCATCAAGTGCAGGGATGCAAAAACTGTTGAATGTGTGCCATGAATTTGGTATGGCAAATGATGTTGTGTATAATAGTTCAAAAAGTGTTGCAATGTCATGTAGATCAAAGGGGATGAGGAATGTCAAAATACCTGATTTTATGTTAGGACCCATGCCGTTAGTATGTGTTGATAAAGTTAAATATCTTGGGCATATCATAGAGGAAGACATGACTGATGATCTAGATATTGCCAATCAGAACAAAGGTTTATTTGTCAGAGGGAATATGATCATAAGGATGTTTCACATGTGTACTGTAGATGTCAAACTGAAACTATTTGAGACTTACTGTTCATCGATGTACTGTGCACACCTGTGGTGGAACTATAGGAAGGCAACTATGAATCGACTCATTGTGAGCTATCACAACCTTCTTAAACGACTTATCGGGTTATCGAAATTTGAGAGTACGAGTATGACATGTGCATATTTTAGAGTGCTGAATTGTGAAAGCGTGTTCAGGAAACTTATTTATAAGTTTCTGAGAAGACTTGAACAAAGCCCCAATAGCATCATTGAAGCAATCAATTCAGGGGATCTCCGTTTCAGATCAAAACTGAGACGCTTTTGGCTCAGTAAGCTCTATTGTCATGCTGTGCTACATTGAATGTGCATCGACTGGGAGTGTGCCTTAATCGATGTTTGTTGCTCATCCATCATCCATCTGGTACATCCATCATCAACTCATAGCAATGGACTGTTAGTCTGAAATACAAATCTATCTATCTATCTATCTATCTATCTATCTTGAGTCTGCCTGAGTCGGTTTGAGTCTGCCCGAGTTGTTCCGAGTCTGTCCGAGTCGATCAGAATAGATTTAAGTTGGTGAGTCGGTCTGAGTCGTTTGAGTCATTCTGAGTCGTTCTGAGTCGATCTGAATCAGTTTGTGTCAGTCGAGTCAGTTTGAGTCTGCCTGAGTTGGTCTGAGTCTATCTGAGTCTCAGTCGATACTGATAGCGTGGTACGTTATCTTCTCTTCCAGTGACGTCACAGCATGCTTCGGCCTGGCACAGCGGCCTGATACAGGAAACCTTAACCTTGAACGAAAACACTACCAGTGACGCCAGGGTTACCAATACCGATTATTTTAACTGGGACCAAAGTGTCTGCTATAATGCTTCATTGCTTTATTCAACCACTGACATAGAAAATACAGTTCACATCGGCAGAATGCTTATTTTAGGCCTGAAACTGGTCTATGATCAAAGTCACCCCGGGCTGCAGGCATCATTGTCACCCTCATTTATGGAACTGAATTTCACTGAAAAACATTCACCAGTTTTTGAGATATGACTTTTACTTTTGTTTACTTTTTGGGGCCTCCACTGTTCCTGACGTAATTCGGAAGCAATAATTCTGTTTCTTCAAAAAGTGGCAGATGTTGCATGTAAAGCAGCATAGACTGCCCGGGCACCATGGCAACAGTTTTTTTTTAGCAATTGATAGATCAAAATATAGATTTAAAATTGCTCGACCTGCGCTGACATCACAAATTCTAAGGGGACGTTCAAATGCAGCCCCTTAGAATCATAAAACTGCAACTTCGAAATTAAATATCTCCGAATTAAAGCGTTTCTCGATGCTGTCGATTGGTCGAATCTGAATCCATTCCAGTCGGGGAAACTGTGGTCAAATCTTCCATTTTTAGAAAGCCTTCCATTTTTGGAAGGATTTTCTATATATGGGTACGCACCTTCCAAAAATGGGTACGCTGACGACGTCATCGTACCCAAATATAGAAAATGTTGCGCATATGTTGGAACTTACCGATTTCCGCCGAACATGAGGCAAATACGACTATCGCCCCTGGTCGCTTTCTATTCGCCATAGTGAAGTGTCCATAATCTAGCGTGGATGCCTAAATCCTAGCGTGGATGTATTTTAGGTAATTTTTCAAAGTAATGAGTCGTGGAAAATTGACAAAAATTTACCGACAAACGATGGTTTTATAAGACTTTATCAAACATTTTGTAAGCAAAAAGCATCAAAAACGAAAAGTAAATATCCTTAAAAGTACTTTAGTGACGGGCCATGCTTGTTCGATACCGCCGACTTTATTTACAGTGCGGAATTGTCTGGACAGAGTGCGGCGGCTTCGGGAGTGTAGTGGCGAGTAAAACTTGTATTTGTTGCCGTTTTCTGCATTTATTAGCATATTGTGTGGTTGATTTCAATTTTTTAAGGCTTTTGCCAAACATTTGGGTGGAGGTCTCGTCATTTTTCAATGTTTTTTCCGGAATATGGGACGAATTAAATAGGCGTTGCTGCGCCGTTTTTCGTGTTACTTTCTATCGAAGGAGCATGAATCTTCAATTTATATGAGGAATAGTAAGTTTAATTTAAACCATTTTTTGTCAGGGCTATAGCTGTGTTCCTCCTGGTTGATTATTGACCAGCTGTTTTCTCTTCTGAATTTCTATGTGTCCTCTAGAAGTAGAAAAAGAGAGCAGTGCGCCAGGACACCATGCTATTATATCACTATGTACATTGACATAGCATGCCTGTATTACCAACACTAGCACTGCTGCTTCTCCTTATATCAATGATCATAAATGGCAAAATCAACTATTAATGTTACACATTTAAAAAGGCCGTAACTTAAATCAAAGAATGTGAATCACAGTTGGGAACACTGAGATTAGACCTTCCAATTTTGGAAGCCTTCCATTTTTGGAAAATGCATACCCATTTATGGAAGGTCCTTCCAAAAATGGAAGGCTTCCAAAAATAGAAGATTTGACCACAGTTTCCCCCACTGATTCCAAGCCGCACCAAGTCCTTGACCAAGTCAAAGTCAACATTGACATACGCTGGGCACGCTCTGCCATGCCACACATATCAACATATGTGAAAAAGTTCAAAGCACAGCAGCTTACGCATATCTCAATTGAGATACACTCGCACACAGCATTCCAAGTTGCAAACAGGCCCATGTCGTCCCCTATCTCTCTGCGTGTCCACTAACACTAATGACGTCACGCATGTGGGCGGAGCTATGGGCGGAGCCTAACGCACGCGGCAGTCCAAGTCGCCATATTTGAATTTATATTTTAATAGAATCTTGCCGATATTTTGGGTGAAGTCAATTTATATGGATAGCTTGGTGACAGTTTAGCTATACGAATAATAATTTATTATGGATGTGCGTATATTCAGCTTGGAATTGCAATTAAAGTTCCGCACCGCATAGATTCGAACTCGGGACCTTTGGAATACTGCGCGGGCACGCTAACCACTACACTACCGCGACCGCGCGGCGGCCGGCGGCAGGGAGGCTGCGGAGACATGGGGGACATTTTACGCTTTTGTGAAAAAAGCAAAAGATTTAGCGAAAAACACGTAATAGATAACTTGCAGAAAATTGTCTGTTCTTTCAGATAAGACACTTAGGTTTGATATATCTTGTGCAGACTTCATTCTACAGTGCTTCGAAAATCGCTCATTTACATGGGAATTGAACGGGGCTTCGAGACTTGACTCCAAATGACGTCACGAGCTGACGTCACGAAAAGGTAGAATCGCCGGACGACCCTACCTGGTATATAGGGCCTTGGTTGCAAACTTCCAGAAAAGTGCGCCTAGAAACCCAGAAATCAGTTTGAAACATCAATTACCACTTCGAAATCGTCCGCGAAAATATCCAAACAACAGCATCGACAATCATGACGCAGCCGATGCAAAGCGCGAAATTTGACGCAGTTATTTGCGCATGTTCAAGGTGGCTGAAATAGGTAGTGTCTAAAAAGCAGACAAGATTAGCAGACAAGCCCATGCTCAGTAATGACTAAACTGATTTTGATAAATCTTACACCATTCAATAGCAGGGGCACTCTACGATATATCTTTCCCCTTTTTTGCCAATTTTACAGTCTCATCTCTCGGATTTTGACGAGAATTGGTCTATGGGGTAATCAGGGGCTCTGAATTCTCCTGTAAAGGCCGCCGTCCACTATGCGGAACGCTTGCGGTCCGTATGGAATTTAAAGTGACCATCCCACCTTAACATTAGTTTTGAGTTGAGATAGCCAAATTGGTGGCCATGGCCTGAAAATACCGGTTTGGGCACTCACAACATCGAAAAATGCTTTAATTCGGAGATATGGAATTTCAAACTTGCAGTTTTCGGATTCTAAGGGGCTAATGCATTGGTATGCCCCCTTAGAATTTGTGACGTCAGCGCAGATCTAACGATTTTTAAATCTTTTACTAAAACGTTTGGTAGCACGCGGTGGTATATGCTGCTTTGCGCGCAACAAATGCCGCACTTTCAAATAAAGTCGCTAGGAACAGCGGAGATCCCAAAAAGTAAACAAAAGTAAAAGTCTAATATCTTGAAAACCGGTGAATATTTTTCGATGAAATTTGGTAGATATTGGTTTTTGCTCTTTCTGAGCCGAGCGACATCACTTTCATGCCATTTCATTAACTTTTTTGAAGGTGGGAGGGTCCCTTTAAACCCGGCGGCCACTGGGCCTCCGCTCCGCGCCACCCGCCGACCGCTGGGGGGGGGCATATATTTGCCCCTCCCCTTTACTTCTGCGACGATATCCACTGGCGGATCCAGACTTGCGCTTTGGGAGGGGGGGGGCAACTCATGCAAGGAACCAAGCCCCAAATCCTGGGGCTTGCGCTAGGGTACCCAGTGGCGGATCCAGGGGGGGCAAAATGGGCATTTGCCCCCCCCCCCAAACGGCATAATTTTAACATTACGCCTATGGACGATGCATGGAAAGAATCGATAAATTGTTATGGTTTGCCCCCCCTTCCCCCCCCCAAAAAAAAAACTGAGCTGGATCCGCCTCTGAGGGTAGGTACCCCCAAATCCTGTTTTCTCAAGTCAGATTTAGGCCACTTATTTTTCGTCACAGCCCTGAAACGATAATTTTCTCAACTAAAAAAAAAAAGATAGGTATAGAAATGGAGCCGACATACGCCGAATCACGATTCCGGCCAAACATGGTCTCAAACATGGCCAAACATAGTCTCGAGAAATAGGCCACAGGTCAAAGGTTTCTTGGGTCAGGGTCATGCAATTTTCAGACTTCGTCAACATGAGGGTAGGGGAGAGCGGGGCCAGTTGAAACACGGGGTCAGATGAAACATGGCTTTATTTTCAACAGTAGGTATGCAACATATGGCGTTGCCGACACCACTGCGCATCCGCGCTCGACCACTTCCTTTGTCAACGGCGTTTGGGCGGCAAACGGACGGTAATTTTGATTTGACACTTGTTTTTGTGTTTTTGAGGGGCGTTTGGGAGAAATCGTTCTTATGAATATTTTGTGATATCTCATATATCTTTGTTTGCTGAAAGAAAAAACTCCTGGCTCCGGAATAACACCTTATTTGGCCCTTCATTCAGCATGACGCCGTCCCTCCAGCTCGTTTGACATGTGCTTTACGGCGCGTGCGAGATGGCGGGAGCGGATGGGGTCAATTGAAACGCTTCTCTGAGGGTCAGTTGAAACAGGGCCACAGGCCGTTTCAATGGACCCCGGTGACCTTTGCAATGGTTATTGTTCAGGGGCTGTAAACATTAAAGGAAATAGTCCACATTTGAAATGAGCTTTTAAACTGAAATAGTAGTTTAATAGAGGTCAATGTTTGACCCCTTTTTCTCCAGCCTTTTGCTTGAAAGCACACTATAGCCTGAGATATTTCTCATTTTTCTCATCCGCCCATTTTACCATAGTCTATGTACTTTATGTCACCTTTTATGAGGAACTTTGCACTTTTAGCTTTCCAACGACCTATTGAATGTAGCATTTGGAAAAGTAAACCGGACAAAATATCTCCTTAAGAAAGTGGCCTCAAAGAGGAAAACATCCCATTGTTAAGGATAGGTGCAATTGACCCCATGGGCTGGTTCAATTGACCCTCGCATCGGGGTCATTTGAAACGGGCGTAGAGCTGTTTTATAAGCATGCGTTTGGCAGCAAAATATGTTTGAAACATAATTTTACATATCTTAAAATAAAGCCAAAAGAGCATAGTTTTTCATGGCATTGTGCATTTTTCGATATGACAACTAGATCTCGCTGTGCATGTCAATATATAAAAAGTGGTTCAACTGGCCCCGCTCTCCCCTACATAAACCCTTGCCGGCACAGGCCATTTTGCGTCCTTCGACGGCACAAGGGGGGTTGGTACAAACTACGACCCCCCTCCCCCCTCGCGTTTGGCCCCTGATCGAGCTAGAGCTTCGCGGAAAAAACGGGCATGCTGCCCGTCACGAGACGAAGCCGATAATATCCAATTTTAAGGTCCTAGCTCATCGGGTGACCTTCCATGTCAGGTCAATGACCCGAAAACCGGGAAAATCGGGCCCTGTTAGAAAGTCGTAAAGTGTGGCTGCTATGTGGTTTTCCGGGGTGCTGATCACGAATATCGTGTTAGTTTTGATCAGAGATGATGTCTTGAAGCATTTAGACCAGGTCGGGTGAGGGTTAGGTCAGGTCAGGTCAACCGGTAGGAGTTGTGACGGGTACCTATTCGTAATACGTGTCAACCGCCTCTGACAGCTTCGTAACATGTTACGAAGGCACCAAAACTACTTCGTAAATGTTCAAATGGTTGCTAAATTCGAATTCAGCTCCAAAAAAAAAACTAGCCTAGAAACATGTAAAACTTGAAAAAGTGAACCGAGGTCACCCGAGGTCACCAAAGGTCAATGACCTGACCTGACCTTCAGGTGACCTTGACACCCACCCTAATGCATGGGAGCAACATCAAATCACATGTTTGAACGTTTGAAACCACGAAAAGCTTGCAAACGCGCCGCTATGCGAGCCGACATACGCCGAATCGCGATTCCGGCCAAACATGGTCTCGGAAAAGAGGTCACAGGTCAAAGGTCCTTTGGGTCAGGGTCATGAAATTTTCAGGATAGGTGTAAAATTGAGCAATGCGAGGTTACAGAAAGTTTCGTCGCGATCAGCCGCTATTTACGCGAGTTATTTGCGAAAAATCTTAGGGGGTTGCATCAACCCCCCCCGTGCCGGCGAGGGTTGAAATGGGGTAGCATTGGCTTCCTCTCGTGACGGGCAACACGCTCGCTTTTTCCGCGAAGCTCTAGCTCCATCGGGGGCCAAACGCGAGGTGGGGCCGTACCAACCCCCCTTGTGCCGTCGAAGGACTCAAAATGGCCTGTGCCGGCGAGGGCTAAAAGTTTATGGCGCCCCTCTAGAGCACCCGGGCCCGGCGCCCCTCTGAAGCTCACAGCTGCCCCAATCGGCCCCATCCAAGATCGATGGCGTCCCTCTAAAGCACCCGCATTCTCCGGCGCCCCTCTGAAAATCACATTCGCCCCATCCGAGACAACACCCCTTGATATTACAGTCGCCCCACCCAAGCTCAAGGCGTCCGGCGCCCTGCTGAAGGCAACAGTGGCCCGAGTGGTCCCATCAATGCCCAATGGCGCCCCCTCAACAGTCAAATCGTTTCTCAATTCTCATACACAATTGTTCCACCTGGTAAGCGGGTATGCTGGGCCGCAGTGCCCGCGTGCCATGCGGGTCAGTATACCACGCAGGCGTCTGCCGTCCGGAGACAGAGCTTACACAACTGTCCCTAGATGGCGCGCGCTGAGCGCCTGAACTGATACTGCGCCACATTACTTCCCGGCGGGCAGTCTCGAGCCCTGCGTTCGGACGTGCCGATTTTCGCGTATAATTTTCCCGCCTCACGAATACGGCCGTTGGAACAAGCCCGGACCTCCCGAGTGTCCTTGCGTTTCGCGATGCCCGAACTGCTGTTTTCGTGAGGAATTCCTCATCGGCGAAATTACACGCGAAAACGGCACGCCCGGACGCAGGCAGTCATCCATTCGCTGTAAGAACCAAGAGTAAAGGGCAAAACTAACCGGAAAATGTTGACGCTGACTTCATTGACCTGAGCACCTGACCTGAGATCGCTTAGACTTGGACATTTTCAGGATAGGTAATACTGTAGGTATGTGTCAAAAGGATGCCGTCAATGTACATACAGGTCTCGCGGGTTTAACCCTATTAGTGGCAGGCTCCTAGCTACCTCTATTAGTGGCAGGGGGGGGGCTGTTTACGACCCCCCTTGATATCTCGAGATCTAAAGGGCCGATTTTCAAAATTCAAACGGCATTCGATTTCGCTCAACGAGATCTACATTTCTAAAAAAAAAAATTAAAAATGTCAATAGGGGGTAGAGGGGGGTAAAAACGGGCAAATTGCAGATACATTTTAGACTGTTTATCACGGCCGGTTTCTGAACCAATCTTAACGCAACTTTTGCCGATCGATAGAGAATGAACCAGGAATTCACATGGATCCTAAAAATATGCATTTTCAAAAATCATAGGCGGATACAGATCATTGAGATTGGGGGTACACAAAAAGTATAGTAAATAAGGTTTTTGTTGGTACTGTTTCTAAAAAGGGTGGCAATGGTCTTGTTATGTTACAATTTTCTTATGAGAGAACGACTAAAATTGTATTGGTCATGCATAGGCGGTGTCAGGGCACCTATGTTGGGAGGTAAAAAATAACCCCCCTTTTGGACGCCTGGATCCGCCTATTATAGCAAAAACGTGTCAAAAGAGGATGCACAATAACTTTGTATATGTTATCACATGATACCTTTCATTCACTGTTCGTAAAACTGGTGCAGCATCGTGATCTTCGCCCAAATGACTCGCTTCACGAATAGGACCCCCCAATTCCCAGTGC